TCTAAATACATTGCACAAGCCTCATGCATAGAAAGAACACAACCACAATAAGGAAAGGAAGGTTCCATTCTCACCCTCCCTCGGTATCCCTTTGCTGTTCTTGTTGTTGCAACTTAAGGAATGGGGATGATCTATATGGTATTCATGTGCTGTTGGGAAGTGAATTCTTAAAGCATCAAGTCTAGATGTGTCACCTTGTTCAGAGCAGATCCATTTATTAATCTTCCCTTTTTCAGCTGTTTGATTAAGAATCAACTGTGCACGCTCAGGGAAATGGGGAAGCTGAAGGGGGACATCCAGCGTTTTGTGCACACAAAGAGAAATGAGCTTTCCCCTAGGCAGAACTTCTGCAATTTGGGATCAATGGGGTGGGAAATCATCTTTTAAACTAGGAGAAGATGGGTTCACTATTCCAAAAACATTGGTTTGATCATATATGGGATCACTTGCAGCCTGAGCAGGGTGAGAGGGGATGGAGATAGAGTGAATGCAGGCCTGACGTATGAACCACCCAACAGCAGGACCAAGAGATGCTCGGCACAACTGGACTGCACCCCTAGAGCGTGAGCAGCAGCTCAGGGAGGGGATCCTGCCCCTCTGCTGTGTGAAGGGGAGACCCGAGAGCAGCTCCAGTGCCTAAAGGGGCTGCAGGAAAGCTGGAGAGGGGCTTGGGACAAGGGCCTGTAGGGCCAGGCCAAGGGGAATGGCTTGAACCTGCCCGAGGAGAGACTGAGCTGAGCTCTTAGGCAGAAGCTCTTCCCTGTGAGGGTGCTGAGGCGCTGGCACAGGGTGCCCAGAGAAGCTGTGGCTGCCCCATCCCTGGCAGTGCTCAAGGCCAGGTTGGACACAGGGGCTTGGAGCAAGCTGCTCCAGTGGAAGGGGTCCCTGTCTGTGGCAGGGGTTGGGGCTGGATGAGCTTTAAGGCCCCTTCAACCCAAACCACGCTGTGATTCTATTCTATGTCTCCACGCAATCTGAGGCTTGTGCTCCCTGAGGTTCCAGCACACTCCAGCACTGAACACACAAACTCTGATTACACCATCCCTGGGCATTAATTACGCTGACAACCATTAGTACATCCCAAGGGATCTGCAAGGCACCGAGAGACCAATTTGCTGCTCTTCCACTCGCGTTGCCACCCAACTGCAAGAATCAGTGCTTCAAAACAAACATGTTTGGCAACAGAACTTCTCCCTGGTGCCCATGGGCAGTGTTTTTAACACAAGGACCCAGGAGTGCTGCCGTAAGGGGCCCCACATCCACTTGATGCAATCGGATGTTCAAGTGGGAGATCATTCCAGAAGGTCCATGTCAGAGGATGCATGGAAACAAGCAGTCACTGTGTCCTGTTTGTGCTGATGATTATGGCTTAGGGTTGATGTTATTTACTCTCCTGTGATGGAGCAGAGCCACATCCTGCCTCCTGCATGGGAATAAAGAGACACATGCCCATGGTTATCATGCACCAAGAGGTGCTCCAAGAAGTGATTGTAGAAACTAGACAAGTGTATGAGGGGGGATGGTGTTGATCTGCATATTTTGGGAAATCTGCCCCTCTGCTCTGCTGAGCCCCCACTGGGTGCAGTTCTGGGGTCCTCAACATAAGGAGGAGATGGAGCTGTTGGAGCAAGTCCAGAGGAGGCCACGAGGATGCTCAGGGGCTGGAGCAGCTCCTGTATGGAGCCAGGCTGAGAACATTGGGGCTGTTGAGCCTGGAGAAGAGAAGCTGCGTGGAGACCTCAGAGCAGCTTCCAGTGTCTGAAGGGGGCTACAAGGATGCTGGGAGGGACTCTTCAACTAGGGACTGCAGTGATAGGACAAGGGGTGATGGGTTCAGACTGAAACAGGGGAAGTTCAGGTTGGAGATAAGGCAGAAGCTCTTCCCTGTGAGGGTGCTGAGGCGCTGGCACAGGGTGCCCAGAGAAGCTGTGGCTGCCCCATCCCTGGCAGTGCTCAAGGCCAGGTTGGACACAGGGGCTTGGAGCAAGCTGCTCCAGTGGAAGGGGTCCCTGCCCGTGGCTGGGGTTGGAACTGGATGAGCTTTAAGCTCCCTTCAACCCAAACCAGTCCATCATTCTATGATTGCCCACTCCTGCACAGGCTGAGCCATGCACCATGCACTTGACCTGGAGAAGGGAGATGGAGCTAGAACAGATACAGGCCAGGATCTTCTGTGGTTGCATTTGAATTTGTCTATGGGAGAGCTGCTGTTAGCCCTACCTGAGAGCCATGGCCATGCACTACATCCTCAGTGGGTGCCTTGGGTGGTGTAAAGGGGGAGATGGAGACTTCCACACCCTTCCGAGTGCAACCCACACGTTGGAAAGGGAACGCCAAAGGAAGGGCCACTATTGAACCATGGGAAGCTCCTCCAGATCTGGGAAGGAAAGGTTGGCCTTCCTGCAGTGTTTCTCCACCAGCCTTGACACAACAGCCCACGTCCATCACACGACAGACTGAGGGTAGCTAAAACTCTTCCTCTGCTGCTCTTGACTGTGCAAATGTGTTGTTACGCTCTCCATCTGCTGTGAGCTGCAGTGAGCAACAGGGAGAGATGCTCCATCAGGAGATGCTCCGTCGGGAAGATGCCATGTGGGTCTCCCAGATTGAGGCAAGGAAACCTCATGGAGAACATCTCTGAGGAGCATCTCTAGTGGCACATTCACATGTACTCAATGGCAGCAGCAGCTCTGCCTGTTGATGTAGTGCAGGAGTTTTCCACTAAGGATGACATTCAAGAAGGGGAAGACCTTGTTGTAACTTCAGAGTGTGAGTTATTGTTGCCGCTCTTCTTTTATTATTCAGCCTAATGAAGTGTTTCGCTTTGATTTACTGTTTTCTCAGATGATGGTAAAACATGTCAACAGGCTCCAAAAAATGGGAATTTGTCAGGAAACAGCTTCAAATTAATGATCATTTTAAGGCTATTCCACGCTGGCAATTTTAATTCAACACAATAAATTCTCTTAGGGGTTTGTAATAGCACGGCATTATCTTTACAAATGACATCCTTGAAGCTGAGCAGTTTGGAACACACAGTAACAAGAAGGAGAAATGGAGGAGGAGAGTTGAGATGAGAGGTAGGGAGTAAGCAAATACTGATTGTATTTAAACCTCCATGCAGCAGCAAATCTGTCTATTTGTAATATTAAATGGATCCTCCCCGTCTGGTTCTGGAGATGACTTTCTGGGGGAAAGGTAAAGCTATCTGAGAATTAGCAGAGATTTAATAATAGAAGGAAATTGCTTGAGACCAACCATTCGTCTCAACTACTTCTGGCCAAGCACGAACCATTTCCAAGAGAGCTTTATTTCCCTTCTCTTACATTGGGATGAGGAAAGCAAGAAAAGGCATAAAAACTTCATTAAGCTTCTTTTTTTAGCTTAAACCTCATGAAAACAAGGGTGTTTTTTCCTTCTGAGCATTCATTTTGATTTGTCCAATGTTTGAGAAAACAGACAAATTACAAAGGAATTTGTGCCCATGGAAGTGCAGCAGCTGCTTCATGGCTTGAACAGAAGATGCTGGAAGTTTCCAAAAGGCCCCTTTATTCTGCCACAGCAAACAAGGATATTCCATACAGTTTGGGCATCCAATCTGCATTAAATCTTTATGGGTAACAAAGGAAGTATTTCTGTCAAGAGGAAAGAAAATCCATATAACTCAGGAATCTTATGAGCCCATAATGTGAAATAAAGGGAAAGAACAGCAAGCTCCTTTCCTGGAGAAACCCAATCAGGATCACAGGTTTATATGGACAATGCAATTGTAAAACTACTCTATGTAAAATAAAGAGATAGAAGGGCTGTAAAGCTGTCACATAGAGTCCCCTTCCATCCCAGCTCAAGTCACTGGTGGATACGTGCTCCTGGTTTTTGCTATTACGGTGTCTTTGAACTTCATGAATCTCTAAAACATCTTAATGTAAAAGACACACATCTGTCCAAGAAGCCACTGTGAAAATTCCTTTCCTTTTATACAGCAGGAAACAACCTGGAATAATTCAACATTTCCATCTGAATTGGAGCAAGAGCAGCAGGAATTGACCGGGTGCTGCAATGGCCATGGGAAAAGCAGTGAGCCACAGGTAGCCAAGCAGAGATAAGAGGGGTATGAATAAGGGCAGTGGGAACGGCTTTGGGTAGGAAGGATTGTAAGAACCTAGCAAGGGAGAGATGGATGGCTGAATGCTGCTGAGCTGGTGCCCTGAATTCCCTTGGAAAGGAGAGCTGGGCATGTCTGTAATGCGGCTCCTCTCCTCCTCAGTACAGAATAGGGCAGAAGAGCTGTATCCTCCCAAATGCCCCTTTTCCTCAGGAAATAGAAAAGGTACTGAGGATGAACTATTGCTTCAGATTGCATGGAATCATAGAATAGAATACCAGATTGGTTTGGGTTGAAGGGAGCTTAAAGCTCCTCCAGCTCCAACCCCTGCCCCGGGCAGGGACCCCTTCCACTGGAGCAGCTTGCTCCAGGCCCCTGTGTCCAACCTGGCCTTGAGCACTGCCAGGGATGGAGCAGCCACAGCTTCTCTGGGCACCCTGTGCCAGCGCCTCAGCACCCTCACAGGGAAGAGCTTCTGCCTAAGAGCTCAGCTCAGTCTCCCCTCGGGCAGGTTCAAGCCATTCCCCTTGGCCTGGCCCTACAGGCCCTTGTCCCAAGCCCCTCTCCAGGTTTCCTGCAGCCCCTTTAGGCACTGGAGCTGCTCTCAGGTCTCCCCTTCAGGAGCCTTCTCTTCTCCAGGCTGCCCCAGCCCAGCTCTCTCAGCCTGGCTCCAGAGCAGAGCTGCTCCAGCATCATCAAAAGTGAATTCAAATCATCTTAATTGGGAGTTAGAGACAAGAGGGAATGAGCCATGGCTTGCAGTGTGCTCAGCTCTGTGAGAGCTCTTCCAACACATGTTTTCCTTGCAGAACCTCTGCAAAGCTCTTTAGACAAACGTCTTCCTGCACATCACCCTGTTCCCCTTGCTCCCTCTTCACCCTTGACCAGCCCCACCATGGAAAGCTGCAGCAGCAATGCCTCCACCAAAGTCTTCTTCTTGGTGGGGTTTCCAGCTCTCCGGGGTTCCCAGCCCCTGCTCTTCATTGTGTTCCTGCTGTTCTACCTGCTGATCCTGGCTGGTAACGCCGTTATCATCACCGTGGTTGTGATAGACCACACGCTCCACAAACCCATGTACTTTCCTGCTCCACCTCTCTGTGTTAGACGTGCTGCTCACCACCACCATCATGCCCAAAATGCTGCTGATCTTCCTGGCCAACGCTAAAACCATCTATTTCCAAGGCTGCTTTCACTCCCTGATGGTAACCGAGGCACTTCTCCTCGTGGTCATGGCTTATGACCGCTATGAAGCCATCTGCAACCCCCTCTATTACCCAACCAAGGTGACCAGCAGAATGAACATCCAACTGGCAGCAAGTGCCTGGATCACTGCGCTGCTCATCCCCGTGCCCGTCATCACACAGACATCTCAACTAGCCTATGGACACACAGCCAGGGTCCACCACTGCTTCTGTGACCACCTGGCAGTGGTACACGATGCATGCTTGGACTCCAGTGCCAACTTCCAGACCTTCTTGGGGCTCTCCATCGCTATGACGGTGTCAATTGTCCCTCTGTTGCTTGTCACCATCTCATACGCCCACATCATCACAGTATCACAGCATCACAGTATGGTAGAGATGGGAAGGGACCTCAAAAGCTCATCCAGTCCAATCCCCCTGCAGAGCAGGAACACCCAGATAAGGTTACACAGGAACGTGTCCAGGCGGGTTTTGAATGGCTCCAGAGAAGGAGACTCCACAACCTCCCTGGGCAGCCTGGTCCAGTGTTCTGTCACCTCACTGAGAAGAAGTTTAAGTGGAACCTCTTGTGTTCCAGTTTGTACCCATTGCCCCTTGTCCTATCATTGTTTGCCACTGAGAAGAGCCTGGCTCCATCCTCGGGACACTCCCCCTTTATATATTTATATACACTAATAAGGTCACCCCTCAGTCTCCTCTTCTCCAAACTATAGAGACCCAGCTCCCTCAGTCTCTCCTCATAAGGGAGATGCTCCACTCCCTTCATCATCTCAGTTGCCCTGCGCTGGACTCTCTCCAGCAGGTCCCTGTCCTTCTTGAACTGAGGGGCCCAGAACTGGACCCAATATTCCAGATGGGGTCTCACCAGGGCAGAGTAGAGGGGAAGGAGAACCTCTCTCGACCTACTAACCACCCCCCTTCTAATACACCCCAGGATGCCATTGGCCTTCTTGGCCACAAGGGCACATCATCCTCTCTGTACTGAGGATCAACTCCAAAGCAGGACGCATGAAAGCCTTTTCAACGTGTACTTCCCATCTGCTCGTGGTAGGCACTACTCCTCCATCACCATGGCATACGTGTCCTACAGAGCAGACATCCCTAATGATGTCCACATAATCAGCAACGTTGTCTTCTCTATTTTGACTCCCTTGCTAAACCCCATCATTTACACTTTATGCAACAAGGAGGTAAAAACTGCTGTTAAAAAGTCCATTTTCCAGAAAACCTCTTCCCTTTCTATAAAGTTCTATTTATTTGGGTAAAATAAATGTGTGGTAGTGTGGAATCCTCATGCTATTTATCACTTGAGCCCTCTGGTTCATTAAGATATCATCATCTTTGGAGTTCTGTTTCCTTGAGCCGTGCTATATCTCGTGTTAATGTGTTTCAGCCTATTTCTGTGAAAGTTTGAGTAGAATTGCTGTAAAACTTGTCATTTTCTTCTTTGGTTTCTATCCTTCAGTGACTAAATCAAGGATGCACTAAATAAAGCTGTGATTGCATTAAATAAGAATGAACATGCACTAAATAAGGGTAGAAATGCATTGAGTAAAGCTGAACTAGAGCGGTGCCACCTTCATTTACACATCGCCCTCCCCACTGCACCAAGGAGGATGTGTTATTTTGACTCCTCCATTCAACACTTTGAGGGTGGATGGAGTTATTTTCCCCATGAGTGATAGAGGTGACCCTGGGCTGTTACTCCTGGGTGAGGATCAATCACAGAATCATGAGACTCCCACTACATGAGTCCCCAATGTGCAGAGCATCTTCTCTATCATCACCATGCAAGCAGGAGCTGTGAGCTTGTAAGAGCCACTGAAGACATTGGCACGGCATCATCTTGGTTGCTTAAAGTGGCCACCACGCTCAGGCAAAGGCTGGTGTTCCACATGAGGAGACACCACAGGATCCAGATGGGAACAGAGATGCCCATTAGTCCATTAGCATGGGAAAACCCAGCACTGATCCCTGTCCCCATGAGAGGAGACCTACACTTGGGTTAAGAAAGAGGTTTCCATCAGGGATCTTGCAGGAGCATTAAGAACCACACCAAGTTCAGGTGCCTGAAGAGCTTCCAAAGGACCTGGAGGTCTCTAATGAGCTTTGGGGACTCCTAGGATTAGACTGTGTGAGTGGGCACCATGGATCATTCAACTACCCCTGGACCCAACTTTGTCCAATGTGGCCTTTGGGTCTCAGACAGCACAAAGCTCCATCACTTCTAGGCCAACCAGAGTGGAGTTTTCAGCCCAAATCCCCTCCTAACAAAGTGTTTAGCAGCAAAGAACCACTCATAATGATCAATAAATGTTCTTTTCTTATTGCTCTTATATTTAAGCCTTGTTTCCACTTCACTGTTATTCACTTCCCATCATTTCACTTTCTGTCTGATGCCAGATGAGATCCCTGCTGCCCCTGTGAATTCACAGATGAGAAGATCCACCTCTTCCTCATGGAATGACTGCTCAGAGGCTCTCACTGTAACAGTTCCCAAACTTTTCACTATTGCCACGATTTTTCCCCAAAAACCTCTTTATGTTTTAATATTCTTCTTGGAGAATAATCATAAAAACTCAATGGAATAATCTTGTATTGGCTGCACCATCATCAAACAGAGATTATCCTCACCTCATGCTTCCAGCATCCCCTCCTGATATATAGAGGATTGGTTTACTATTCTCGACAAGTCATTCTATTCCCAAGAAAAAAAGCCCTAAATATATGGATTTTAGCTATTATTTTGATTGCATTGCTTTTCCAAGTGCCTCAATGAGAGGAAGCAGCCATAGCACTGAGCAGGGAACGGTGCAGAGCCCGGCATTGTGGAGATGCTCAAGCCCAGAGGGGTATCTCCTAACTCATCCTTATTCATCTACAGCTTGGAAACGCCTCCCAAAGCCCTGGGATGGGATGCTGGGAAGGGATTAACAATTCATTCCAATCCAGAGGAAGCGCATGGTCTATGAGGAAATGGGGAATGCTGAGCTCTTCCCTTGGCTAGTCATCAGGAAAAGAACTATTAAGCCATGGAGAAAGGATGTATCTGGGTTTCCCCCAGAGCCAGTGGGTAGGATGCAACCAGCTGCCATTAAATTCCCATGGTGGTCCAGGGGGATGCCTCATAACCACAAATAACGGTGGAAACCAGCTCCTGCAGCCACAGGGGTGAGATGCTGACCCCGGAACCTTCTCTTGTCCTCGCTGAGCATCTGCATTGAAGGGCAAGGTCAGAGCAAACAGGGTACAGAGGGTTAGAACCAGCACTCTGAATAACATTATGGAATAGAACTACCAAGCCAGGAGGCAAAAGCTTCCTCCTCTTCCCTCATTCATCACCTTTGGCACTATAATAACTTCACCTAACAGCTAGGAACCATTCCCAGCTGCTATTATTCGTTATCAGCAGCAATAGCATCATACTCATACCCAGAGGGTCACGCCGCTGCCTTTTACAAGACACTGCATTCACATAATGCATTTTCTGCTCCAAACCTTCATCTCTGGTTTATATGGCACAGAAAACCGTGAATAAGCATCACACTGAGCAGCAGAACCTGCAGCCTCTGAGCGCTGGTTTGCTGGATGGAGCCTGGAGAAGAGAAGGCTCCTGAAGGGGAGGCCTTAGAGCAGCTCCAGTGCCTAAAGGGGCTGCAGGGAACTGGGAGAGGGGCTTGGGACAAGGGCCTGTAGGGCCAGGCCAAGGGGAATGGCTTGAACCTGCCCGAGGGGAGACTGAGCTGAGCTCTTAGGCAGAAGCTCTTCCCTCTTCATCCCAAACCATTCCATCATCCTATGAGAGCTTTCCACACCCACCACCGTGGTCTATGGAGAAGGCACCCAAGGGTACCCTCATGCACCTTCCTCCCCACTACAAAGCACAATCCTTGCTGGGGACACTCAAAAGCCTCCAAAGAAGCCCCTGAGTACCACAAGCAGCATCCCCTGTCCCCCTGAGCTGACATCCCCCCTTTCCCATCCATCAGCCAAGCTCTGCAGCTGAGCCCCTCCATAGCCAACATGGAAAACAGAGCCCTATTCCCAGGTCAGTCATCTTGCCTCTTGTGTTTCTCCATGTGGGATGCTCTGCACCTGGAAATGCTGGCACGCATCAGAGGGAGTGGGCTGGGTTCTTCTCTCTTTCAATAGGATCAGCTCTGCTCAGCTCACAGGGGATCTTCCTGCAGCATCACAGCAGGGAAACACAAAGCAGGGAGGTTCCCAGGGCTGTTTATGGATTGAAGAGCCAGGAATCTGCGTTGGGAATGGCGCATCTGCAGCAGAGCAATGCACATCTCCATTTCTTAGTCAATAGAATAGGAACTGCAGGGTGAGAACTGGGTCTGTGTCACCCAGCTGCTCCACCAGGGCACATCAGAGCAGAGATCCCAGGGGCTGGAGTGTGGATCCATCATTTCCATGGTGCTTTAACACCGTATTTGGGCTGTTTGCACCAGCAGCACATGGGGATGCAAATATCTGCCTTCTCCCTCTGCTCTTGGCATGGATTTCTCTGCCTTTCCCTGCATTCCTTCCCTCCTGGAGCGCTCCGTGACATTTGCTCTGGGTTCATGATGCTGTGGAGGTCGGAAACAGGCAGGGCCAGGGGGGAAAAGGGCTTTTCTTGTACACAGAAGAAGTGAAACCCTATGGGCAAACCCCAGGGGGAAGCCGTTCCCAAGTGAGGCTTTACTGCAGCTTCCCTGCTTGGTGGCTTTCCTCATTCCTTCCTTGGAAATCCACCCAGCTGCAAACCCCACCAGGAGCTGGGCACCTTCCAGTGGCCATCACAAGGGATGGGACAAGAGGAACCGGCCTCAAGCTGCACCAGGGCAGGTTTAGATGGAGCTGAGGACCAATTCCTGCCCCAGAGGGTGCTCAGGCATTGGAACAGGCTGCCCAGGGCAGGGCTGCAGGCACCGGCCCTGCAAGGGTTCACACCCCCTCAGTGCCATGGGGCAGTGGTGGCCGTGGGGCAATGGTTGCACTGGGTGAGCTTAAAGCTCTTTCCCAACCTGGCTGATTCCATGAAACCCTCGGTCTTCCCTGTGTGCCTCTGCTTTGGGACAGAATCAGACAGAAACACGGGATGGGGTGGGATGAAGGGAGCTTAAAGCTCCTCCAGCTCCAACCCCTGCCACGGGCAGGGACCCCTTCCACTGGAGCAGCTTGCTCCAAGCCCCTGTGTCCAACCTGGCCTTGAGCACTGCCAGGGATGGGGCAGCCGCAGCTTCTCTGGGCACCCTGTGCCAGCGCCTCAGCACCCTCATAGGAAGAGCTTCTGCCTTGGATCCAACCTGAACTGCCCCTGTTCCAGTTTGATGTTGGTGGGAGGACAGAGGAGAGGACCCAGGAGAAAGAAGAAGGAGGAGAAGGAGAAGGAGAAGGAGAAGGAGAAGGAGAAGGAGAAGGAGAAGGAGAAGGAGAAGGAGAAGGAGAAGGAGAAGGAGAAGGAGAAGGAGAAGGAGAAGGAGAAGGAGAAGGAGAAGGAGAGGCGCGGGTGGGAGGTAAGAGGTGTGGGTGTGGGTGTGTGTGTGTGGAGGGCCGGTGGCAGCAGTGGGAAGTGTGCCTGTGGCACCGGTGGCAGGACAGGCCGAGGCGGTGCTTGGAAGAGGGATGGGGAATGGCGATGGGGATGGGATGGGATGGGACCTGCGGAAGGGGCGCTGTGGAATGCCCGGGAATGCCAGGGGATGGGATTAGCGCAGGCAGGAGCGGAGTGGGGCGGCCGGAGGCGGCAGATGGAGGCCGGGGGCAGGGGGAAGATGGCGGCGCAGGGCCGGGGGCAGGGGGAAGATGGCGGCGCTGGGCTGGGGGCTGTGAGGGGCTGTGGGGGGGGACGGGGCAGGGAGGACCCCAAGGACAGGGAGAGGAGCAGGAGAGGGGCTGGATGGGGGGGAAGAGCAGAGGCAGGGGAATGGGAGGGGGCTGAGGGGAGCTGGGGGGGTCAGAGAGGGGCTGGGGGGCACGGGGAGCAGGGCCCAAACATGGCGGTGGGGATGGAAGAGGGACGAGGCCCGGGCGGGATGAGGATCATGGAGCATCCCCACAGGCGGGCGCAGGGATGGGGATCGGGCACTGCAGAGCCTCAGGAGGAATGTGGGTGATGGCAGTGACCCTGCTGCTCTGCACAGGTAAGGGGCTGGGAAAGGGATGGGGTGGAAGTGGGCAGAGGGATGTGCATGGGATGGACATGGCCATGGATGGGGGGCACACATGGGGACACGCTCATGGGATGTGGGACACAGAGGGCAACAGGCGTTGGGATGTGGGGACACAGAGGGCAACAGGCATTGGGATGGGGGGACACATATGGGATGTGGGGACACAGAGGACAACAGGCGTTGGGATGTGGGGACACAGAGGGCAACAGGCGTTGGGATGTGGGGACACAGAGGGCAACAGGCATTGGGATGGGGGGACACATATGGGATGTGGGGACACAGAGGACAACATTGGGATGGGGGGACACAGAGGACAACAGGCATTGGGATGGGGTTACACATATGGGATGTGGGGACACAGAGGACAACAGGCATTGGGATGGGGTTACACATATGGGATGTGGGGACACAGAGGACAACAGGCATTGGGATGGGGTTACACATATGGGATGTGGGGACACAGAGGACAACAGGCATTGGGATGGGGTTACACATATGGGATGTGGGGACACAGAGGACAACAGGCATTGGGATGGGGTTACACATATGGGATGTGGGGACACAGGCATTGGGATGGGGGGACACATATGGGATGTGGGGACACAGGCACTGGGATGTGGGATGAGGGGTGCAGGCTGGGGACATGGGGAGCTTGCCCAGGCTGGTGGATGCATCCTAGGGATAAGGGTGAAGGATGCGGATACAAGGGCAGAGATGAAGGGGAGGGACACGGGCAGGGGATGCAGGATGGGGACAAGCCTGGGCAGAGGGCTCAGCCCCCTGTAACCACAGAAGTCACCTCATTTCCCCCCCTTTTCTAACGCGTTCCCTGGATCTGCTGGGACTCTTGGCTGGGTTTGCATCCTAAGCTTGCACCATCACCTCCTGCATCCCCTCCCTGAGGACTGATGGGCACCCGACACTGAACAGACCCAATCTGTCAGTGTTTGCCCCTAAACCCCTCCTCCTGCCCTGGGTAACCCTTACTGCTGCTGTCATTGATGCCCTTGCTCCCTCCATGCAGAACCAGGCTCAGGTCCCTCTGAAGCAGCAAGAATCCTCTACTCCGAAGTCACGGTGCCCCAGCGGCTGGAGGCGAAGGATGGGGCATTCCCAGAGGTCGTTGGCTTTCCCAACCAGGGCTCTAGGGCCTGGACTGGATCCCTACGGGCTGTGGGTGGGTGTTGGAGGGAGAGCGGGGCGAGGAGATGGCTCCAGCTTCCCAACCGATAGCATGGAATGGTTTGGGTTGGAAGGGACCTTACACCCAGTTCCAACCCCTGCCATGGGCTGGGACACTTTCCACTGGATGAATAGGTGGCATTAATGGGTGCTTTGGCCATTCCAGGGGCACAGGTCCTATCTGATAACAGCAGAAGGAAACCACCACATCGTCCATCTGAGACAGGCCAAGTAAGGCTCTTCCCCAGCTTCCTTCCTCTGTTATGTTCTGCCTGGGGCCATGACAGGGAATGTTTCTGCTTTGCTTTCCAGGAATCTGTTAGTCAGGGATATCCCAGTGTTCAAGTACAGCGAGGAGGGAGACCTCATCACTGAGTTCCCATATATCCAGGTAAGCTTAGGTCAGGGTTGCATCAAAAGCCAGGAATAAATGACCCTCCTCAGCTCATTCAAATATACTCATGGGTCTAAGCAAGGGGTGGCTTTCTGTTTGCGAAAACACAGGTTATTTTTACACTGTTTGTTTAAAAAAGGAAGGAAATGGTAAAGAGACTGATAAAAAATGGGAAGAACCATTTCAGAGTCATCAGCACATGGATTGCCCTGCCAGATTATGAAAGATTTTAAAGTACTTTTAGCCCATCAAAAGTCCATCTCCGTTGTGTGAGAAATCACAAAATAACCCCTCCAAAAATCATCATGATGCAATGATTGTAGAATCATAGGAACACGGAATGGGTTGGGATGAAGGGAGCTTAAAGCCCATCCAGCTCCAACCCCTTCAAAGCGGTCAAGGATGGATGTGGGCAGGGGTTTGTGTCCCTTTACTGCTGTAGGGGCTTTTTGGACCAGGGCACGGGAGGTTTCCCCACAGTCTCAAGCCACATTTGCACCTTGCAGGATGACTGCTACTACGAGGGGATTGTGGAAGGCTTCCCGGGCTCCATCGTCTCCCTCAGCACGTGCTTTGGGATGAGGTAGGGCTCTTCCCATGGGAGGATGTGGGGCAGCCCCAAATGAAGCATAGAATCATGGAATGGGTTGGGTTGGAAGGGACCTTCCAAGCTCATCTCATCCAACCCCATGCAATGAGCAGGGACATCTTCAACCAGACCAGGTTGCCCAGAAGCACGTGGTTAACTGGGATAGGGATTTCTGTGTCCTTTTAAACCAGGAGCCCTCATTCCTTCATGCTGCATCTCACTACAAACATTCAGCTCTTCAAGCAGAGCTGAGACATCTTTCAGCATTGCAGATTTTACACCATCTCCATAGGGATTTTAAGGCACCATTTCCTTAACAAAACTTTCTGGGATTCCAGCTCAGTGTTTGAGAAGGCCACGTTTTCCCATTGGGATGCACACCCCAGTAATCAGGAACATTTTAGGGCTGTATTAACTCAAACCCTGGCAAAATCAATACCCAATGAGCTTCTCTTCTGCGACCAGGCATGAGTCTGAGGTGTGACACCTTCTTCCTCCAACAAGCACCCCAAAAGGTGTCCAAATGAAGTCAGGTATTTAGGATGCACTTATTAGATGCAGTCTATAACACTGCCTGTGTGAGGATAAACATGTCTTAGGGACGGAGTCTCCTTGGAGGAGCTTTTATTGCCTTCCCACTCTCACTTAATACATAGCATTCAGCAGCAATTCTTCCTCCCCCAAGCTGCATGATTGCCCTCTCAAGGCTCTTATGCATCCTAAACCTTGCCCATGACCCTTTTGTGCCATCAGACATCTTTTAGGTGAGCTCCTTGTTTATCCTCATGGGATCCCTGCCCATAGGAGCAGTGATAAGAGCTAAATCTTCCCATACCCCTCTTTCAAAAGGAAACCAGCATAAACCAGGGGCTGATCCCAATAGCCCTGCACACCAGGGTGGGTTCTGGAGTCCACGTCTCTCACTGAGCCCTCTGCTTGCAAACCCGCAGTGGAGTTCTGCAGATGGGAGACCTGAGGTACGAGATGGAGCCCCTGAAGAACTCCACAACGTTCCAGCACCTCCTCTTCCGAAGGGCACTGGAAGGAGGCCCGCGCCGCCTGTGCCAAGTGCCTGCAGAGCACAAGGATCAGCCCCCCATGGATGGGGAGCGCGCCAATGGGAGTCGTAAAATCCACACTGTTGGGGTAAGGACCCATGGGATGCTCGTGTTGATGCTGCACATTCCTGGGGGTGTGAACCCCTTATGTTAAACACTGGGAGTGATCCCACCATAGCGTCATGGAATGGGTTGGGTTGGAAGGGAGCTTAAAGCTCCTCCAGCCCCAACCCCTGCCATGGGCAGGGACCCCTTCCACTGGAGCAGCTTGCTCCAAGCCCCTGTGTCCAACCTGGCCTTGAGCACCTCAGGGATGGGGCAGCCACAGCTCCTCTGCCCAGCGTGCCGTGGCTTGGCTATCCCACCCTTCAGACCCTAACAAGAAATGGCAGGAGGAAAGTGTGGCTCTGCCTTTCTCTGTGGCTAATAGGCCAGGAGCTGAAAGTATCCCATTTGGAGATTCCATCTGGGAGCTTGTTGTGGCTTTGGGGATGAAAGGAGAATGGGGAACCCACCAAAGGTCTCTCCATCTCCTCCTGGTGCCTTATGTTCCCCTTGGATGTGACTTTGCAGCTGAGCCTGGTCCCCACAGTGCAGCAGCACAGAACCACAGAGGGGTTTGGGTTGGAAGGGACCTTGAAGCTCTTCCAGCTTCAACCCCTTCCATGGGCAGGGACCCCTTCCACTGGAGCAGCTTGCTCCAAGCCCCTGTGTCCAACCTGGCCTTGAGCACTGCCAGGGATGGGGCAGCCACAGCTTCTCTGGGCACCCTGTGCCAGCGCCTCAGCACCCTCACAGGGAAGAGCTTCTGCCTAAGAGCTCAGCTCAGTCTCCCCTCGGGCAGGTTCAAGCCATTCCCCTTGGCCTGGCCCTACAGGCCCTTGTCCCAAGCCCCTCTCCAGCTTTCCTGCAGCCCCTTTAGGCACTGGAGCTGCTCTCAGGTCTCTCCTTCAGGACCCTTCTCCAGGCTGAACTGACACAGTTCCTGCTCCTACACTGTATTTGTCTGCTCTTTTTTCCCTCACTGAGCAGGAGAATTCTTTCCAGTCTCATCACGATTCATTGAACCTCTGTGATGGAGCTGTCCCCAAACCTGCCCACACGCTGTGTTAGCCACACTCTCCTGGGGTACACATTGAGCAGCTTCCCCCCCAGGTCTGACTCCTTTGGGACTTCATTTAACCCATCCTCACATCTCAGCAATAAAGCTCCAACAACCACCGTCTCCGTGTCTTTAGTACTCACCTTCTAGTAATTAAATCTAAACTCCACTGCCCCAATTTGCTTAAATCACACCCAAAAAGAGCTTTAGTGATGTCCACGTTCACCCATCTGCTGCTTTGTTGCTTTCTACGCTTGCAATGAACTCAGTTCGTTCTGGCATCGTTTGATATTGGGCATTCCTGACCTGATTCCCTTTGGATACAAAAGGAGGTTGCTCGGATTGGGAATGCTGGTTGAGCTGGGGCGGACTTTGTCATCACCACTCCTGCTTTCCAAAGGCCTGAGAGACCGTGTTATTTCTGTACCTATGAGCATGGATTATCTATAGTGACAGCCTGGCCTGTGCCAGCGCCTTGTGCTTGCACTCGGTGTGAGAAATAGGGTGACATTCAGGGATGCTGCCTCCTGATAGGAACGTGAAGCATTGAGATGGAAGGGTTACTGGTCAGCTCCCATGGAGGAAAGACAGCTTTCTACATGGCCACAACTGTGCTGGGTGTAGTGAGAAGCCATCAGGGAAAGAGGATGATTTATAACAGGAATAATAAGAAAGTGGTATTTGTTCACCAGGGAAGAGCCATGAGGCCCTGTGCTTACAATGGCTGGAGTGGCAGCATGTAGTTAGCCATGCATGCTTCTGCAGCAGCCAAAGCAGTCAGGGAGCTGTCTCTTTGAGAGGCAGCAACTCCTCCTCCTCTCTTGTACCGTCAGAACTCCTTGGAATTACCCAGGAGTTGCCTTCCTCCTTCCCATCCCAGCCAGTGCCACAGCTGCCACCAAGGCTTGTGCAGGGTCAGCTCCTTTTCCGCCTTGTTATTGGACCAAATCTGCTGATTCTGAGTGCTCTCAGCGGCTCACTGTCCGCTCCCTCCATCACAGATGGGATAATGTTGCCATGGGGCAATACCATGCTTAGAGGACAGGAACAACCCCCCAGGTTACCCATTACCCAGCTGCAGTTGGATAAGGATTAGGAGGTGGTCTGAACCCTTGCAGGGAGCTGATTTGACTTGAGCAATGCCAGGGAATCCCCCTGGTACCAAGAACCCCCCACCTACAGCCTTGCTCTGTCTCTGCATCTCTCTGCTCTCCCCCCAGTTCCACATCACACTCAGTCCTCCTCTAATGTGTAACTGCTCCATGCTCTTGGCCCAAAGGGACTCTGGATTAGCTTGAGCGATGCCTCTTTGGTTCTCTGCAATGAGGTGGGAGCTTTCCAAGCCCCTCAATAACCACCTTTGGTCTCTTGCAGGTTGGTGGTCTCAAGCCGGTGCCTGTGCCTGCAAGATACTTGGAGCTGGCTCTGATCACTAACAAAGAGCTGGTAAGCAGGAGGAATTAGAGCGTGCAGTTCTGATGGAGGCAGACCCTGGTGTCCAGCATCAGAACACAGCCTCTTCATAGAAGCAGAGAATCATGGAATGGGTTGGGTTGGAAAGGACCTTAAGATCATCCAGTTCCAACCCCACTGCCATGGGCAGGGACACCTCACACTAAACCATGGCACCCAAGGCTCTGTCCAACCTGGCCTTGAACACTGCCAGGGATGGAGCATTCACAGCTCCCTGGGCACCCATTCCAGTGCCTCACCACCCTCACAGTAATGAACTTCTTCCTTGTATCCAATCTAAACTTCCCCTGATTCAGTTTGAACCCATCACCCTTTCTCCCCTTTCAGTTTAAAATTAAGAAGAATGAAACCCTGATGCTTCACATGTTCCTTTCCATCAGCAACCTCCTGAACACGGTGAGTTCTAATGTGGTTGAATACAGTCACTGCTCCATTGGCAGCCTACCCTGGGAAAGAGATGAGGGATTCTCCCTACAAGTGCCTGAGAGGAGGATGGAGCCAGGAGGGGCTGGGCTCTGCTCCCAAGGAACAAGGGATGGGACAAGAGGAACCGGCCTCAAGCTGCACCAGGGCAGGTTTAGATGGAGCTGAGGACCAATTCCTGCCCCAGAGGGTGCTCAGGCATTGGAAGAGGCTGCCCAGGGCAGGGCTGCAGGCACCGGCCCTGCAAGGGTTCACACCCCATGGAGACGAGGCCTCAGTGCCATGGGGCAGTGGTGGCCTTGGCAGGGCTGGGAATGGTTGGACTGGATGAGCTGAAAGGGCTTTTCCAACCTGGTTGATTCTATGATTCAGTCGGTATTCCACAATGCTTTTAAACCCACTTCAATGTTAAAACACTGCTTCAGACGGGAGTGAAGTCACTTTAAAGATAACTTTGAAATCACCCCTTTAAACCACCTGATTGGGAATGCACATTATTGCTACCGAAAGATTTCTGGTAGCTCAGTACCATCTCCCATCTCTTCATCTCCTCATTGCTCTGAGTCCTCCAAAACAGCACACGGGCAGGGACCCCTTCCACTGGAGCAGCTTGCTCCAAGCCCCTGTGTCCAACCTGGCCTTGAGCACTGCCAGGGATGGGGCAGCCACAGCTTCTCTGGGCACCCTGTGCCAGCGCCTCAGCACCCTCACAGGGAAGAGCTTCTGCCTAAGAGCTCAGCTCAGTCTCCCCTCGGGCAGGTTCAAGCCATTCCCCTTGGCCTGTCCCTACAGGCCCTTGTCCCAAGCCCCTCTCCAGCTTCCCTGCAGCCCCTTTAGGCACTGGAGCTGCTCTCAGGTCTCCCCTTCAGGAGCCTTCTCTTCTCCCCAGCTCTCTCAGCCCTGCCAGCTCTTGCTCTCCCCAGGTTTACAAGCCCCTGAAGCTCCGCATCATCCTCAGCGCGGTGGAGATGTGGACCGGGTCGGACCAAGTGGCCCCATCCCGCAGCCTGGCCCGCACGCTCAGGTCCTTTTCCACGTGGTCCCAGAAGGAAGCTGCCACTCGCATCAATTACGACAACCTCCAGTTCCTGCTGTAAGAGATGTGCCTTTTATCACCCCACTCCCAGACCATGGGAGATAAGCAGAAAGCAAGAGGGTTCCCATCTCTTCTCCTTTTGACACCTATCTGCTGATAAGTCTTTTGTGCTGGGGGTATCTGGTGGAAAAGAACACAACAGCTTCACCTAATGTACTAATCAGCAGGGTTTTGTCATGTAAATTGCTGCAAGAACTCACTCATCCCTTTCCCTGTCCTCTGTTATAGTCCCCCCCCACGCACACACAGCACTCGGCTCATTTCCAACTCTGATACACTTGACTGTAACTGAATTATCCTCATCTCATTTTAACTTCTTACTCATTTCCACCTATACAAGCCACTCGTTTTTGAGCTGTAATAACTCATTGGTACACCGTTTACAACTCAAACCTCCCTGCTAGGATGAGGATGTTTAATAGCACTTACTCCACTCTTTCGCTGTCTCAGACCTTGTGTCTGTTTTGTCTGTTCCTTTTTCCTTCATTCTGGGGGAAGAAACCTTCTGGAGAGTCAAATGTAGATATATGAAAGTACTGAATATTTCTCTTTTTCAAATTCAATGTATTATATTGTCAAATCTTTAACAAATCAGTCTGAATAATCATATTTTATCGAAATAGGCCACTCTTCAAATAGGGGCGAGGCCAATGAGTTCATAAACCATGGTTCTGCCTCCTTATTATCCCCCCCTAGCATCTGCGGGTACCACCCCATATGGGGGTGTTATAGAGAATGAGTGATACTGGGCTTTTCTTTAAGAAGCAGCTTTTTGTCACCCCAAGCATCATTTTCCAGCTGTAATTCAGAGGATGCATCCCATTATTGAGACAAACTGTTCGGTGTTCTTTAACGTTTACATCTTCCCCCTGCAGTGGCCAGAACTACAAGGAAAGGGGATTTGCCTGGAAGGGGACAATGTGCAAGCCAAATTCCATGGGTGTTGTTTCGGTAAGGATGGGTTTGCACTGCCTGAAAGTTCACATTGACAGTGAAACCTTGGAGTTAATCCTACATAACCCCTGGGCTTCATCCACTACGAGCTAACACCAAAACTGCATCTAAAGGAGGTGATGCTGGACTTAGAATCACAGAATCAAGCAGTTTGGGAAAGACCTGTCCATCCAGGCAAAACTGATGACAAAAACCTGCCCATCCAGTCCAACCATTCCCAGCACTGCCAAGGCCACCACTGCCCCATGGCACTGAGGCCTCGTCTCCATGGGGTGTGAACCCTTGCAGGGCCGGTGCCTGCAGCCCTGCCCTGGGCAGCCTGTTCCAATGCTGAGCACCCTCTGGGGCAGGAATTGGTCCTCAGCTCCATCTAAACCTGCCCTGGTGCAGCTTGAGGCCGGTTCCTCTTGTCCCATCCCTTGTTCCTTGGGAGCAGAGCCCAGCCCCTCCTGGCTCCATCCTCCTCTCAGGCACTTGGAGGCAGCCATCAGGTCCCCCCTGAGCCTTCTCTTCTCCATCTGAACCCCCCAGGTCCCTCAGCCCTTCCCCATCACACTTGGGCTCCAGGCCCTGCACCAGCTCCATTCCCTTCTCTGGCCCCGCTCCAGCCCCTCAATGTCTCTCTTGCAGTGAGGGGCCCAGAGCTGAGCACAGGATTCAAGGGGTGGCCTCACCAGTGCCCACTACAGGGGGAAGGATCTGGACCTGAAGGTCCCCACATCACCATACACCACCATGGGCAAACATGGCTCTGGTTTCTCTTCCCACCTGCAGTTCCCTGGCAATGACACCGTCAGTGAGGTGATGACACTCGCCCACCAGATCGGGCACAGTTTGGGCTTCGCCCATGATGACTCGAAAGAGTTGAAAACCAAACTCTGCAGCTGCAACTGCACCCAACGAGGATGCATCATGAGATCAAGACCAGGGTGAGTGCCACAATGCACAGCTTCATTGGGCACAGGGAAGACATCTCATAGAACCATGGAATGGTTTGGTTTGGAAGGGACTTTAAAGCTCACCCAGCTCCAACCCCCTGCTACAGGCAGGGACACCACACTCTAAACCCTGTCACCCAAGACTCCATCCAACACTGCCGGGTCCTCCTAGGATGGTCCTCCTATCCCATGCACATGGAAGTCACCTCCTCAAGGGGAAGGAGCACCAAGCACACAAAGACTTGGGTGAAAACCTCAGCAAGACAGAGCACTGTGTTTCATAGCTTTGATCCTTCAGGTTTGCTGCCATCCTTTCCAATAGGAACCCTGTTATCCAAACCTATGCATTAAATGTAGAGGTTTCCAAACCTCTCCCTTTAGCCCATAGTTCCTCCAGAATCCCTAAACTCAATGATTCACTATGTTCAGTGGAAGCATAGAACACCAGGTTGGAAGGGACCTCAAGGATCATCCGATCCAGCCTTGGGGTTGAGTTCTTTCCAATTTGGCTACAGTAGCTCCCATGCCCACATTCATTTATGGCTGCCCCATCCCTGGCAGTGCTCAAGGCCAGGTTGGACACAGGGGCTTGGAGCAAGCTGCTCCAGTGGAAGGGGTCCCTGCCCGTGGCAGGGGTTGGGAATGGAGGAGCTTTAAGGTCCTTTCCAACTCAAACCATTCCATGATTCCATGATTTATACATGAAAAAGGGAGATGAAAAAGGCTTATTCCCTCTCTTATTCATATTCCTCTTTGCCAGTTAATCTACTTGTTCCTTAGCTCCATCAATTCATCATGGAGATGCTGTGGTTACATATATTAATGGTTCTCTTACAGAACTTGCTTGGCATTCAGCAATTGCAGCTCAGACCAGTATTACAATGAAGTAAGAAGGAGAAATAAACCCTGTCTCCTCAACATCCCCCCTTTAAAACCAGCTCTCCTTAAACACTGTGGCAATGGCATCTTGGAGAAAGGGGAGGAATGCGACTGTGGCAGTGATGAGGTGCGCAATTCCCTGCAGTTGAGGTGTTCAGAGGCCTCTCCATACCTCATCCACACGGGAAGGGGTTTTCCTCCTGCCTCTACTCATGTTCATGTTGCTATTTCTGTTCTTTATTTACCCTGAAGTCAGTGGGAAAGTGCTTTTCAGAAGCCCTTGCACGTTGGTACCTCCTCAGCTCTAACTCCAGGCTGTGCCACTTTGGAATGTTGGAGTTTCCCAATGGAAACTCCTGTTTGCCCTTTGTGGGATCATTATCTGTACAAAGCTGCTGTCAAACCCCAGCCTTTGCACTGACATTTCCCCCATCAAGTGATCCCTGTGTGTTAGATCCAGGCTTGGGTTGAACATCCTGCACCTTGTTGGTAAAGAGGATCACCCGCCTTAAGGAATGATACCAGGAGAACCCAAATCCCTCCACAGAGGAGATGAGATGGAAGCACTCGTGTTCAGAGGGAAATGTGAATTGCTTTAAAAGCATCTCTATAAGATGCAGCTCCCTCAACTCCAGAAGGCCCAGAGCTTGTAGGGCAGCAGAAAACACCATTTCCCCCTTCATTTCCTTTACTTCTGTGTCTCTTAAGCCAGAGTAAATGATGCAGGTAAGAAACCCTCATACTGAGATGACGCAGCATTGTGTCCTTGCAGGAATGCGTCCATGAAGGATGCTGCTCCCCCTCCAACTGCATGCTCGTGCCAGGGGCTTCTTGCTACAGAGGTGAATGCTGTCACCATTGTCAGGCAAGTTTCAACTGCAACAACTGCTATTGGCTTTGTGAGGGATGGGAAAGCATTGATGGAATTGGGTTTCACAGCTCTGAGGTGCCCTATTTCCTCTATTTCTCACTATATCTGGCTTGAAAATACCATAGAATCATCATGGAATGGCTTGGGTTGGAAGGGACCTTCAAAGCTCATCCAGTCCAATCCCCTGCAATGAGCAGGGACATCTTCTATGGGATCAGGGAGCCCAGAGCCACATCCAATGGCCCTGAATGTCTCCAGGGATGGAGCATCCACCACCTCTCTGGACAACCTGTGCCAGGGTTTCACCACCCTCACTGTGAAGGATTTCTTTCTCACATCCAGTCTGAATCCCCCTCTTTCAGTTTACAACCATAACCCCTCGTCCTGTCACAACAGCCCCTGCTAAGAAGCCTTTCTCCCCTCACAAGCAATATTAGACCTCAAGAACAAGAGGCAACGGTTACATTGACTTCCTTAGGAAATAAACCCTTCCTGGTCATCCTGTTCCCCTCCTACATCCCAAACTCAACCGAAGGAACACCTCATAGGTTGTTCTCTAATGCCTTCAATGAGGATTGGGACACTGGTTAAGGCAGGACCTGGGGCTGTATCAAGCTGACTGGAGACTGCTCATGCTTAGGTAGGAAACAAAGAGCTTAGAAGCACCAAACTGGGTCAGACCAAAGCCAGCAGCAGCAGCAGCAAAGAGAGAGGGTGAGGCCAGAACCTACTAACCCAACACAAGCACTGGTGCCATGGATCTAACGTCCATCAATCACCAGTGTGCCTGAAAGGAAGGAGGTTTTAAAACCTCCTTTCTATTCCTGCTGATGTTGGGGTCTTAGGGAAATGCAGCAACGTGGTGTTTGTGGACTCAATGCACCAAGAATTCCAGTTTCTCTGCTGGAATATGAGCAGTCTCCATGTGCAAGGGCTCCATTTCCATAGGGCAGCAAGGACTTCAGGCCTCCAGTCCTTCATCTGCCTCACTCATTGCAAATTCAAGTCGCTGTTCTTCATGTTACCCTTTTGGGGCATTTCCTAAGCTCTTGCCACAGGGGTGTCAGTAAATTGGGCCAGATCCTGTGGAAAATGAATCCACCAAAGCTCATCTTGGGGCCTTTCTTTACAGTTCCATCAAGCAGGAAAGATCTGCAGAGAAGAGGCCAACATCTGTGACCTCCCCGAGTACTGCAACGGCTCCTCAGCACTCTGCCCCTTGGATACCTTCAAGCAAGATGGAACTGTATGTGGAGACAATGACCACTGCTATGAAGGGAACTGCCACAGCCACGAGGCACAGTGCAAAGCTTTATTTGGCAAAGGCAAGATAGCTCATGGAATCATGGAATGGGGTGGGTTGGAAGGGAGCTTAAAGCTCATCCAGCTCCAACCCCCTGCCACGGGCAGGGACCCCTTCCACTGGAGCAGCTTGCTCCAAGCCCCTGTGTCCAACCTGGCCTTGAGCACTGCCAGGGATGGGGCAGCCACAGCTTCTCTGTTCCAATGCCTCACCACCCTCAAACAAAGAATATGAGCATACAAAAGCCTTCTGTAAGTAAAACCAGGTTCTTCTGTGGCCTTACCCCATTTATGGGCACTTTGGAGAACCCCTGCAAATGAAGCCAGTAGCATTTCTCATGGAAGGCATTGCTGGGGAAGACAAGGTTATTGATAAGGCAGAACAGTTTTGTCCTCATTTCGACATGGGACCCAAAGGCATCGCCCCACCAGCCTTTACATGGTGCTATCACCAGCAGTGATCTCTGCAGGGCAGCTGGGCAATGGGGTTTACTTTGAGAGCATTTTAGATGCTTGAACACCTGGGAGCCCTGCACTGACCTCAGGCTCTCCGTGCTCTCCCTCCATCCTCTGGTACTCCATGGACATGAAGATGTTCTGACAAAACTGGAGTCTAGAAATGGTTCTGCCTTATTGAAACCCACATCTTTGAGCTGATTCTGACCCCTAACAGGAATTAAGTGTTCCTCATATGGAATAGAATGGTGGCAATCCTGGTTTTATGGTCAATGGGAGGTACAGTGACCTGTGTCACATACTGACCTGTGTCATGCAGCCAGCTAAAGACTTACAGAGAAAAATTGGACTGGGAAAGATTTTAGGCTTTGAATCCAGTTTATGCTCCATATTCTTCTGTATAAATGATCATGGTTCGTTGTGACCATTGGTCAATGTCTTGGTGGCAAATCTCTTTGTTTAGTCCCTTCATTCTTACACTGACTATTCTGGTCCTGAAAAGGACCAGAGCATAAACCATAAACCATGCAAATGCAATCACAGAAATGATCCAGAGGGATAAAGGGATGCAATAGTCCCTGTCCCTCCATGAACATCTCCTTTGGCTCCACAGCTGCCCAACGTGCTCCATTGAGCTGCTTCCTGGAGGTGAATGTCCGAGGTGACCGGTGTGGGAACTGCGGCTGGAACGGGACACACTTCACAAAATGCCTGGAAGAGTAAGTGCTGGATACTGGTGTCCAGTGGGAATCTCCCCAGGAGTAACTCATTCCCATCCACAGCTTTGCTGTGCAGCAGGACCCAACCTGACCCCATGTTCCAGGGGTGCCCTGACCAGCGCTGAGCACAGTGGGATGATGGCACCTTCATCCCTGTGGTGATGCCCTTGGGGATGCTCCCCAGCACTCTGCTGGGTTTCTGCTCAGTTGCTCACTGCTCACTCCTATGGAGCTGGGATCCCCCAGGGCCCTTTCCCAGAGCTGCTCCACATGGGCAGATCCCAGCTTGGGCTGCATTCCAGGATTAGGCTTCCCAAGGGTAAGACCTTACACTTGTCCTTGTTGGACTCCATCAGGTTCAGCAAGTCTCATAGTATACAAAAAGGGGAAAACACATGAAATTGAGACTCAGAATGACAAATGGAAGCATCCCTGCAGCTTCTGGAGCGATACACCAAAGGGCTGCGCTGACGTGCCCAATGCACTGCCACCAACTGGCTTAAAAGAGTCAGTGTGGATGCTGTTTAAGTGTCCTAACCTCAGAAAAGGGGTGTTTGGATGCAAAACGTCCAACAGGATTCTCCCTGCACATCTGGAACCTCTGACCATGCCCAGGGTTGCTCCAAGCATGGAGCTGGAGCGGGTTAAACTGATACCATTGTGTGCCCCATGATCACCACATCCCACATGTCCCTACAAACCCTTAGAGCAGCCTGTCTGCCCCAGGAACGTGCTGTGTGGAAGGGTGCAGTGTGTTAACATCAAGAGGGTACCAGTCAGGGAGGATGGTGAGACCGTGGTGCAGACCGCCATCGACAACGTGCTCTGCTGGGGACTCGACTTCCATCTGGATCCAGGCACTGCCGACAAGGGGGCAGTGAAGGACGGGACATCGTGTGGTAGGAACAAGGTACCCTGTGAACACTAGGAGGATACATGGATAGCGCAGGGATTGAGATGGAATGGGAGGATTTTGGTCCTAAAGGAGATGTTCATGGTCTCCGATCCCAACCCCATTGTGCCTTCTGTTAAAGCCTCCTTTGGCAGCTGAAAAAAACCCCATCTTGTATTGGTTTTGTGGGGTTTTTCCCCCAGATTGATTGAAAAAATACAATCATTGGGGTTTTTTCCCCAATTAGAAGGGAAAAGAAATGTATTTTGTTCTTCTTTTGGGGTTATTACCAAAGCCAACGTTTATTTGTTGTGCATACAAAAGAATGCAAAGTGTTGTTCCAAGAACAGGACTCACTCCTTCCCTTTGGCCCACATAGGAAACCAAGTTCCTGTTGAGCTGGTGACGTACTAAAGGATGAGTCTGCTGCTATTACATGGCAGGGAAAGTACTCTGGAGGAAAACAGAGGTGCTGAGTTCCACCGAAAGGGAAGCTGCTCCTGAGGGCTGGCTTTGGTAGCGTTGTGCTTTCAGGAGATGTGGCTTTCACATCACCAAATGCAAAGGGTCATTACAAAAAGAACTCATTTGCAAGGCAAAAAGTAGAAAATACATCTCCTTCGTTCTCCTTCTGTACAGAGATGAGTTTGTGCCTGCTAAATTTGGGAGATGCCTCCACGTTATTCAATGGAGTTCCAAGGTCTGGTTCACATCAGGGACAGGACAAGACCAGAGCCACAAAGTGCTGGGAGCTGGGGGAAATGTGTTGATTTCTATCCAGAGATCAGGATGGTTGTGCCCAAGAGCTCATCCATCCAGAGCCCTCCACCAGCCTCAGGCAGATACCTATGGAAGGGTATGAACAGAACAGGCACATATGGTCCTTCCTACTAGCATTGGCCCTACCTTCAATCATGTTCAGCTCTTAGCTGCTCCGTTCCTTTGGTACAAGTGGTTGCTGTGCATTTTGTCACCCTCACTCGGTTTGTTCTGTCTCTCCTTTGCTTTACCTTCAACCTGGAACCCCAGAACTGCATTTTATGCTTCCCTAATGCTTGTTTAGAGAAAGCAAGCTGTTTCTCACTGCTTTCATCTGTCCTTTTAGCATCCTGCTAATCCCAACCTATTCTTCCTGCAGATCTGTATGAACAGGATGTGTGTTGGTGCAGCTTTCCTCAACAATGACTGTGGGGACACCAAATGCTATGGCAGAGGGGTACGTAGGACACCTCGGAGTGGTCTTTGACTATGAAAGCATGAAGTGTCAACTGGCCTCTCAACAGCACTGTTAGAAGTCCAGAATCATTCCTGGCTCAGCAACACAGGGATTCATTTGGGTTTCACCCGTGACTGAGCTCTGACCACCCAAAACTCTTCTCTTGGTTCCTTTTACCCTTTTACTTCTCTCTGTTCCCTTAAATAACATGAAAAGCAACTTCCACATCACAGCGTTTCACCCTTCACTGCACCCGTCAGTGCTACGGAATGGAACATGGGTGGAACTGCAGAGAGCATCTAAAAACACATGTTCAAGTCTAGAAATCCACTTTCCTTACAAATAGCACAGAGATGGCCCATTTTGTTCCACATTGTCTGCACTTCATCTTATGGATAACCTACATTTGGCACATTAATGCTGGCAGAATTGTTTCATATGGGTATCTTTATGGCATCACTTCCAGTAGCTGCCCCTTTCCAGCCTGCCATTCCAGTTCCTGTCCCCTGACCAGACAGGGTCATCCTACCACATTAGAATCATAGAATCAGCCAGGTCAGAAAAGCCCTTTCAGCCCATCCAGTCCAACCATTCCCCATCAGTGCCAAAGCCACCACTGCCCCATGGCACTGAGGCCTCCTCTCCATGGGGTGTGAACCCTTGCAGGGCCGGTGCCTGCAGCCCTGCCCTGGGCAGCCTGTTCCAATGCCTGAGCACCCTCTGGGGCAGGAATTGCTCCTCAGCTCCATCTAAACCTGCCCTGGTGCAGCTTGAGGCCGGTTCCTCTTGTCCCATCCCTTGTTCCTTGGGAGCAGAGCCCAGCCCCTCCTGGCTCCATCCTCCTCTCAGGCACTTGTAGGGAACAGTTTGCTGTACCCCATGAGAGGTTCCACTGTTACAGGCCATGAGTGAGCATCAGGAAACACAGGAACTGAGTAATCCAGCCTGGACAGAGAAATGAATACACAACCAAGGCAGTCACAGTCCCGACTTGAAAGAAAACCCCAACTTACTCATTCTCTACTCTGTCATCTCCTTGCTGTTGTTGTAGCACCTCTTGTTGGATCCTCAGTGATGGATCAGGGACTTGCAGCGCCCTCACTTCATGGGTGGCAGCAGACACCTAATGATGGGTACAAGCCCACAGCCCCCAACAGCCTGGGATCAGGGCCCCCCATCCATCACCTGTGCCCAAACCAGGCTGAACATTGCCACAGTGGAGCTAAAGCAGAGCACCAAACGCATCTCAGGACACAGCATCACCCAGCCCAGCCCTGCTGTGCTCACAGCCTATCCCCACAGGGCCACTTGTGATCTCTTTGGGTTTCATGCCATAAACCACATGCTTTCTTTCAGGTGTGCAACAACAAGGACAACTGTCACTGTGATTTCGGATGGGCCCCTCCGGACTGCCAGCTGGAAGGGGTCGGAGGCAGCATTGACAGTGGGCCACCCCCTCCTCAGCACCGTAAGCACTGGGACCTCCCTGCACATGGCACTGCCTGCCTTAGCTTGACAATGGTCTTGCAGGTCTTTTCCAACCTACTTGAGTCTCTGATTCTATACTTCAAGATCAGTTCAGACTTTGTCCTGGCATCTCTCTGTCCCTTGCTATTTAGCCACGTTGGATTATTGTCTCTACTCTCCTTTCTTTACCTTACCTTACCTTACCTTACCTTACCTTACCTCACCATTCTCTTACCTTACCTTTGTCTTACACTTCCCTTCCCATCCTTTCCCTTCCCTTCCCTTCCTTTCCCTTCCCTTCCCTTCCCTTCCCTTCCCTTCCCTTCCCTTCCCTTCCCTTCCCTTCCCTTCCCTTCCCTTCCCTTCCCTTCCCTTCCCTTCCCTTCCCTTCCCTTCCCTTCCCTTCCCTTCCCTTCCCTTCCCTTCCCTCCTCTCCCTTCCCTTCCCTTCCCTTCCCTTCCCTTCCCTTCCCTTCCCTTCCCTTCCCTCCTCTCCCTTCCCTTCCCTTCCCTTCCCTTCCCTTCCCTTCCCTTCCCTTCCCTTCCCTTCCCTTCCCTTCCCTTCCCTTCCCTTCCCTTCCCTTCCCTTCCCTTCCCTTCCCTTCCTTCCCTTCCCTTCCCTTCCCTCCTCTCCCTTCTCTTCCCTTCCCATCATTTCCCTTCCCTCCTCTCCCTTCCCTTCCCTTCCCATCCTTTCCCTTCCCTTCCCTTCCTTCTCTTCCCTTCCCATCCTTTCCCTTCCCTCCTCTCCCTTCTCTTCCCTTCCCATCCTTTCCCTTCCCTCCTCTCCCTTCTCTTCCCTTCCCATCCTTTCCCTTCCCTCCTCTCCCTTCTCTTTCCCTTCCTTTCCCTTCTCTCCTCACCCCTCCTCTCTCTCCTCTTTCTGTTCCCTTCTCTTCCCTCCTCTCCTCACCTCTTTTCCATCACTCCAGCTGCACCCACTCGCCCTTCCCAGCTCTCCAGACCATTCCCAGTGCACCCACACGAGCTGCAGATCGATTCCATTAAGCCCCAGCAGTCAGCACACACTTGAGGAAGATGCTCATTCTCCTAGGAGAACCTTCCTGTCCTCCCAGCACAGGCACCCAGCAGAGCTCCACTCCCAAGGGGGCAGGAGGCAAGCACACGTGCTCCTGTACCACGCACTCCCTCAGCACTGCACAAACCCAGCAGCATCTTCGAGCTCTTCCCACCCCTCTCTGCTCATCCCTTCTGCTGCTGAAGGACTTGTGGGTCTTTCTGCTCTTCATTTGACCAGGCCAATGCCACATTGCTCAGGCAGTAACTGGCAAGGCAGAAACCAAGCTCCATTGAGCATTGATCTGCAAAATCAGCTGTTCTTCAAGTATCAACCCATTGTGGTATTCACCTCTCAGATACTCAAAGCAGGGCTAGATGGGGCTTGGAGCAAGCTGCTCCAGTGGAAGGTGTCCCTGCCCGTGGCAGGGGGGTGGAACTGGATGAGATTTAAGGTCCCTTCAGCCCAAACCACTCTGTGATTACATGACTTTACCCACACACTAATGACACAGTGAAGCATCAGCCCTTAGCTGAAGGAGATGCTCAGCTCACATTGCCTTTTCCTTCAGTGCTGTATTCCTCATGGAATCCCAACCTGGTTTGGATTGGAGGGACCTTAAAGCTCTTCCAGCCCCAACCCCTGCCATGGGCAGGGACCCCTTCCAGTGGAGCAGCTTGCTCCAAGCCCCTGTGTCCAACCTGGCCTTGAACACTGCCAGGGATGGGGCAGCCACAGCTTCTCTGGGCACCCCACATCCTTCATCTGTGTGTCCTTATCAGGAACCACACAGGAGACCTTCCTGCCCATTCGTTATGTCCACAAACTCCTCTCATGCAGTCCCAAACACTTGCTGGTTCCAGCTCCATGCAACATTACTTCAGTCTCCACACTGTACACTCAAGGCTTTTCATTGCTTCTCAGAAGGATGAGAACAATGGTAGCTCCCAAGCAGGGAGTGCTGGAGGTCATTTGGAGACCCAGACTGAGAGCAGAACTTAGAGACAATCATAGAATCATAGAGCATCAGGTTGGAGGAGACCTCGAGGATCTCCTGCTCCAAACTTTCCACCCTATCAGCCCAATCTTAACAGTGTCCAGTAATGGGGAGTCACCACTTCCAAGTGAGCATCACTTGGTCCAGGGTTGTGCACTCCTGACTATCTGAACACCCATGACAAGTGCTGCTCCCACCAGAGCTCTATGCTTCCAGGGATGCCCAGTGTGCACGCAGCATCGTGAGCATCATGCTCTTCCTTTCTCTCTTCCATCCCAAGCGTTCACATCTGCAAGGAACATCATCACAACGGCTAGACTGATGCTGTTCTTCATCCTGGCCTTCCTGCTGCACAAGAGGGCTGCCTTTGTTCACTGCCTCCAAAGGTGAGTCCAGCTCCACCGAGCTCCACATCCCACCTCTTCTCACCAAGGTTCTCAGCATCCCCTTCCATGGAGAGCCTTTATGTCAGGGCTTCACAGTGCAATGCTGGCCACCCTTTGTGTGAGCCAGGTTCCTCTGGCATCAGAGAGAACCCGCAAGGTAATGCAAGCAAATGGGCTCTGATCCGTGAGGAGGGCTCTGTCACAGCTTCCTGCCTCTCATCCCAAAAGGGCAGCTCCAGCTTGAAGAGGTTTCAATCCTTCCTGGCATTTCTGGGAGGTTTTCCATGGAGATTTTGAAACTAAAATTGTCCAATTTCAGGGTATTTTGTCCTAAAGTTCAGCTTTTTCTAAAAGGCAATTCTTTTGGGATATTCAATCCCATTTTCTAGATTTTTCCTTTGATTTTCCCTTTTTTTTTTTTTTTTTTTAGTTCACTGAAAAATGCAAATGAAAGTTAGAAAAACAAAGGAAAAAGAAAGATTTTATAACAGTGGAAAAAACAGGAAATATTTTACAACAGTTTGTGGAGGATAAACACTCTTATCCTCTTACTGCTCTGCACATTTTTCCCAGGTCAAACTGGTTTATAAGCTTAACTGAAAGAACATGGGAATGTAACTGCACAGAGGGAAAATCATGGAATCCCACACTGGTTTGGGTTGGAAGGGACATTAAAGCTCCTCCAGCTCCAACCCCTGCCACGGGCAGGGACCCCTTCCACTGGAGCAGCTTGCTCCAAGCCCCTGTGTCCAACCTGGCCTTGAGCACTGCCAGGGATGGGGCAGCCACAGCTTCTCTGGGCACCCTGTGCCAGCGCCTCAGCACCCTCACAGGGAAGAGCTTCTGCCTTATCTCCAACCTGAACTCCCCCTGTTTCAGTCTGAACCCATCACCCCTTGTCCTATCACTGCAGTCCCTAATGAAGAGTCCCTCCCCAGCATCCTTGCAGCCCCCTTCAGACACTGGAAGCTGCTCTGAGGTCTCCACGCAGCTTCTCTTCTCCAGGCTCAACAGCCCCAATGTTCTCAGCCTGGCTCCATACAGGAGCTGCTCCAGCCCCTGAGCATCCTCGTGGCCTCCTCTGGACTTGTTCCAACAGCTCCATGTCCTCCTTATGTTGAGGACCCCGGCACTGCACACAGTGCTGCAAGTGGGGGCTCATGAGAGCAGAGGGGCAGGATCCCCTCCCTGAGCTGCTGCTCACGCTCTAGGGGTGCAGCCCAGCACACAGGGGGGTTCTGGGCTCAAGCGCTCACTGGGGAGCTTCTCCCCACCCAACACCCCAAGTCCTTCTTTTCAGGCTCCATCCCATCGCCCCCAGTGTGGATTTGAGCTGGGAATGCCCCAGCCCAGGGGCAGGACCTTGCCCTTGGCCTGGTTTAGCTCCATGAGGTTCACACAGTCCCACCTCTGCGGTGTGTCCAGGTCTATGTGGATCCCTCCCTTCTCTCCACGTGTCACTGCACCACACAGCTCGGTGTCATCACAAACCCATTCACAATCCCAAACCAGAAAATGAGCCATCGCATTCCCCTCTGTGATCTCTGCACGTCCACAGGCTTCACATTTGGTGGGCTCATTTATCCTGCCAGGAAGCAGGAAAGATTCCCATTGAGATTTGCCCTGCTCTGTGCAGCAAGCTTGTGTTGGTACCCAGCTATCTCCTGTACTCCCAGTTTAGGACCTCTACCCTATGTGATAGTGTCCAGAGCAGATTGAATGAATGTTTTCCCCTTACCACAGTGACCTGTGGGTCTAATCTCAGATCAGGATTTAACCTTATGTGAAACCAGGTAAGAAACAGGCTTTAACTTCTCCCATAGCTCTCTTTCCTTGTTGTTTTACATCCCAGTGTCAGAGAACAAGGAAACCCCACCCAATATTCCTCATAAGGTATTTGTCCATCAACAAAAGCAGCTGATGCTGCATGAAACCACTGTCCAAAGTCCATGCTCACTGCACACTTGATGTTATAGGTATCGTAGGTGGCTACTTAGAAGAGAGGACAAAGGATGCAGTAGGAGTCGTTCTTCTTCTCTGAAAGATGTAAGTGTTAAAATCCATGTTCTCAAAGGGCTTTAGCTTCTTGGAACCTTCCAAACTTCCATCCCCTTTCGCAGTAATTCTGCTCCCCCAGTTGTTTTCAGTGCAAGGTGGAAGCTGCCAGTGAGGACACAGGCAAAGGGTGCAGCAGCCAAAAGACAGTTTAGGGTGAAAAGCAGCATGTTCCTACAAAGAGAAGTGCTTTCATTGACAGCTTCATGGTGGCACAGCTGAAGGAAGCACAAGCAAAAGCAGGAATTCTGTCTAGATTGGGACAAATAGGAGATCTCTCCCAAAACAAGCTCTATGAGGCTGCAAACATCAGAGTGTCCTGGCCATGGGGCTTTCCTGCTGTGGTGCTGCTGTTTGGAGAGGCGGCTCACTCCTCCAGGAATGTGGCTAATCTAAAGCTGATGCAGTTTGATCAGATTTAAGTTTTCCAAGGAAAAGCTCCTTGGAAAAGAAATAGAAATAAAGAAAATCCTGCTGCTTCTAGTTAGAAAAGCAGAAAACAGCTCAGGAAGCAGAAAAGGGGAAAGAGAGCAAGGAAGAAGAGCAGTTGGGGTCTCACCTCATATCATGTGCAGGGTCACCCATCCAGGAGGCCCAGAGAAGAGCCATGGGGTGGGAAACTCATGGTTTTCAAGGAAAAACTGGAAGCGTGGGTTGTGCAACTCGAAGAGGTGATTGAGGAGCTATGGGATAATAACCCCCAAATCCATGCAAGGCAACGAGTGAGTCCTTATCTTTTAGGTTGATTGTGGGCAGAACAAAACCGGGTGAGGCTAAACTGAAACAAGAGATTTTGGTTAGAAAGATGTAAAAATAATGCTGTTTCTTTACGTTCAGCACCAATGAGACCCACCACATCTCCTAGAATGGTTTGGGTTGAAGGGACCTTAAAGCCCATCCAGTTCCAACCCCTGCCATGAGCAGGGACCCCTTCCACTGGAGCAGCTTGCTCCAAGCCCCATCCAACCTGGCCTTGAGCACTGCCAGCCCCCAGGAGAAGGGTTTTGAACGGGTGAACCTAAAAAGAGAGATGGGGAAGTTACTTTTGTCTATCAATAGTTAGCTAAAAACATCTGTCATTGTCACGAGGTGCTGATGAAATGAAGCACTGAACACAATGCAAAGGAGGTTAGTCACATGGAGAGATCATAGGAGCAATCTAATCTTCAACAGAGCATTAGCATAACCCACAACATGAGTAAGAGGAGAGCAGGAGTACTCTTAGTATGATAAGCCTGACATCTTTGTATTAGATGTTGTCTTAACACATCACGTGTGGTCTCTGAACACCACCAGAGACCAGGAATGAGAGAAGTGATGCAATTGAAGCATTTCACTCCAATTTTGACAGCATCCTAAGTGAGAGAAGCCATTGGAGAGAGAAAACATAGTTAAGAATAGCAGGGAAAGCACTGACACAGGGCAGGGGTTAGAAACCAGCCCAGGGAAGAGGAGCAAAGAGAGGAGGTGCCCTGGTTACATTTGCAGGTGATACACCTAGAAATGGAATCATGGAGTGGGTTTGCTTGGAAGGGACCTCAGAGCTCATCCATTCCCAACCCCTGCCACAGGCAGGGACCCCTTCCACTGGAGCAGCTTGCTCCAAGCCCCTGTGTCCAACCTGGCCTTGAACACTGCAGGGATGGGGAATTCACCACCTCAACATCATCACCACTGGACCAAAATAAGCTCTGTTCAGTCAGAAAGCGCTGCACTAACCCTGACCTTTCCTTCCTCCAGGATGACCTAACAGAGGATGAGTTCTGAGCCAGAGCTGAGCCTCTCTGCAGCACATGAGGGCTGCCAGAGGTTGTTCAGCTTTAAACAGCAAAGTTACCTTCGAGGCATTAAACAGGGTTTGTTCTTGTTTCTCTGTTCAATAAAGAGCTTGTTTTCAGGAGGCAGCAGGGCTCCATGCTCCTCCAAAGGGTTCCAGCTCTGCTTCATAGGAATTCTACTGTACCAGCATTCCTGGTTGCCATGGGCCCTACAGACTCCATAGGCACATGGCAGGAGGTGTCTCAACAAGGGGTTGGTGTCGGGACTGATCCTGCTTGGTGACATGCACACCCTCAGCATGTTTGCTGATGGCACTGAGCTGTGTGGTGCAGTGACACTGTGCAGGGAAGGGATGGAATCCACATGGACCAGGGAATGCTGGAGGTGGGATCATTTCACCTCATGGAGCTCAACCAGGCCAAGGGCAAGGTCCTGCCCCTGGGCTGGGGCATTCCCAGCTCAAACCCAGGCTGGGGGAGATGGGATGGAGCCTGAGAAGGACTTGGGGTGTTTGGTGAGGAGAAGCCCCCCATGACCTGGCTTCAGTGAGCGCTTGAGCCCAGAACCCCCCCATGTGCTGGGCTGCACCCCCAGAGCATGAGCAGCAGCTCAGGGAGGGGATCCTGCCCCTCTGCTGTGTGAAGGGGAGACCTGAGAGCAGCTCCAGTGCCTAAAGGGGCTGCAGGGAACCTAGAGGGGCTGAAAGACGTGGTCTGACTTCCCTCTTCCCATCCTTGTTTTCCCAGCGCTCCATAGGACCATAAATCCCAGACTGGTTTGGGTTGGAAAGGACCTTAAGATCATCCAGTTCCAAACCCTTTCCATGGGCAGGGACACCTCACACTAGACCTCATCACCCAAGGCTCTGTCCAACCTGGCTTTCAACACTGAACACTTCGCCTCTGTGCCTGCTTTTGCCCTTGATCTGTCACTCATTTCTGCACTGACAGCCCTGAAGCACCTCCAGGCAGAGAGTTCAGACAGCACAACCCATGCCTGAACCCTTCACATCACCCAGAAACATCCTCAAGCACTGTAGGAGCTCGGGAAACCTCCCTACCTAAAGCACCTCCACTCCACCCTGACAGCACAGTGAAAAGGAGGGGGAAATAACCATCCCAGAATGCCAACTAACCCAGGAGACACTGCCCAGGGCCAGAGGCTCACATCCAGATGGATTTCTGCCCAAACCAGGTATCCCAGAGCCACCTCAGAAGCTGGAGGCTGCCACCTTCCAGTGCTGTGGAACACAGGCACCGGTCGCCCCACAGCACCGGCACACCGGGGGAAGCCGAGGCAGAAGGCAGAGAAAGCACAGTGATAATAAACCCAGTTATCAGCAGTGATTGTCAAATGTCTCCATCACCGGTGCTGAGCCCAAAGCGGGAAGGGATTCCCTGCACTGAGCCTTCAGCACCTTGTCTGAGCCTCCCTGGAGAGGAATGGATCCATGGAAGAGCAACCACCTCCTGCAGGCATGGGCTCACACCCAGGAGCCTTGGTTTGAGCAGCAACCTCTTGGCACAGGCAACCAGAGTGGATGTGATGGAGCCCAGTGCTCCTCAGGGAAGAGCGAAGCAGCTGAGAACAACACATGGTGAAGAATAGAACAGCAAAAACATGGGAGACCCAGGCTGCACAAAGAGGGGGGGAATGAACCCCCTACCCCTGCCCGGGACCCCTTCCACTGGAGCAGCTTGCTCCAAGCCCCTGTGTCCAACCTGGCCTTGAGCACTGCCAGGGATGGGGCAGCCACAGCTTCTCTGGGCACCCTGTGCCAGCGCCTCAGCACCCTCACAGGGAAGAGCTTCTGCCTAAGAGCTCAGCTCAGTCTCCCCTCGGGCAGGTTCAAGCCATTCCCCTTGGCCTGGCCCTACAGGCCCTTGTCCCAAGCCCCTCTCCAGGTTCCCTGCAGCCCCTTTAGGCACTGGAGCTGCTCTCAGGTCTCCCCTTCAGGAGCCTTCTCTTCCCCAGGCTGCCCCAGGAGCGGTACAGACCCACACTGCATTATTCATTACCCTTACAGATCCACACCCATCATCATTCCTTTATTAAAATGATGTTTCATTTAGGACAACGCCACAACACGACCTGAATGGGCCCTCCCAGCACCGCCACACGCTGCCCCCTCCATGGACACTCCCCCTTTACGGCAGATCCCTACCACAGTGGAGCCCCTCCACAGCCGATACCCTCCATAGGGTATCCCCTCTATAGCCGATCCCCCCCACAGGGTATCCCCCCCACAGCCGATCCGCTCCACAGGGTATCCCCTCCACAGCCGATCCCCTCCATAGGGTATCCCCCCCACAGCCGATCCGCTCCACAGGGTATCCCCCCCACAGCCGATCCCCTCCATAGGGTATCCCCTCCACAGCCGATACCCCTCACAGCCGATCCCCTCCACAGCCGATCCCCTCCATAGGGTATCCCCTCCACAGCCGATACCCCTCACAGCCGATCCTCTCCACAGCCGAGCCCCTCCATAGGGTACCCCCTCACAGCCGATCCCCCCCCACAGCAGATCCCCCCCATAGGGTATCCCCCCCATAGGGTATCCCCACACAGCCGATCCCCTCCCCACAGCCGACCCCCCCGCACACCGCGGTCCCGCCGCCTCTCCCCCTCATGGCGGCGGTCTCTCCCCGCTCTCCCCTCAGCGCTTCCGGCTCCAACCGGTTCCATCCGGTCCGGAGCCGCCCTTTGGCGGGTGCCGTGCGTCACCGCTGCGCGCCGCCGAGTGACGTCAGCGCCGCGCCGGGCTTCGCCATGGAGAGGGAGGACGAGTGGCTGGTGCAGTCCCTGAGCCAGTGAGTGGGGCCCATTCCCATTCCCATTCCCATTCCCATTCCCATTCCCATTCCCATTCCCATTCCCATTCCCATTCCCATTCCCATTCCCATTCCCGGTCTTCTGCCGCTCCCTCCTCCTTATCCCCGCAGGTACGAGGACCTGCACTTCTTCGAGCTCCAGGAGCCCACCCGCCTTCTCGAATGGGCCCCGGGGAACCGTGAGTGCGCGCTGGGCCTGAGGGGAGCCGTGGTGGTGGTGGTGGAAAGGGGAGGCCATGGGGTCGGGACAGGGCTCCATAGCCCCATAGGGCCGGGGTATGGCGGTCACCGTGTGCCTGTGCTTCACCCCCCCCTCAAGGTGTCTTCGTGGCCGGGTATGCAGAGGCCGGTGGGAACGAGATCCTGCAGCTGCTCCCGCCGCCGCCCATGCGGGAGGTGGTGCCCAAGGTGGGTGCTGCGGCCCTCGGTGTCTGCAGGGGCCGAGCTAAGGCTGGGGTTCACCGGTGCCCTGGTGCTCTGCTAAGGGCTTGGCCAGGGTCTGAGTGGAAAGGGGAAAGGCTTTGAGTTGATGGAGGGGAGATGTGGATGAAGGGAGGGACTCTGCATCGGGGACTGGAGCGATGGGATATGGGGTGATGGGTTCAGACTGAAACAGGGGAGAGTCATAGAATCATAGAATAGTTGGGGTTGGAAAGGACCTTAAGATCATCCAGTTCCAACCCCCTGCCATGGGCAGGGACACCTCACACTAAACCATGGCACCCAAGGCTCTGTCCAACCTGGCCTTGAACACTGCCAGGGATGGAGCATTCAGATTCAGGTTAGATACAAGGCAGAAGCTCTTCCCTGTGATGGTGCTGGGAGACTGGGATGGGATGAATGGAGAAGGTTTGGATGCCAGTGCTCAAGGCCAGGTTGGACACAGGGGCTTGGAGCAAGCTGCTCCAGTGGAAGGGGTCCCTGCCTGTGGAAAGGGTTGGGAATGGAGGAGCTTTAAGGTCCCTTCATCCCAAACTAGGCTGGGATTTTATGATATGATTCTTGACAGGAGCTTCCTCCAGATTCTCTTTAGCTGTTTGTGATCCCTCAATCCTACAGCTCCGGCTGGAACAGGCATCGCTGGGCAGGCAGAAGGGGGTGGCTTGTCTCTGTTTCTTATCAGGGTACCCAACCACACCAAGCTCTGCATTGTTAACTGGTAAGAAACCACTTTGCTTCTGATTTCCAGAGCCTGTTTCCAGAGAGAGAATTCAAGGTGGAATGTGGTGGATTCTCCGACCGCCCCATACACAGCCTGAAGTGTGTGCCTGGCACCAGGTAAGGCCTTGAGGCCCTTCCAGGGTGTATTGGACATGCAGAAGGAGTTCATCCACTGGGAGAAAGCTCCTTTTCCTTCCTTGCTTCCTGACCTAGCTATGAGTACGGAGGGGAGCTGCTGGCCAGTGACGTGTAGTGCTCCTCCCAGCCCCTTGTCTTGGTGTTTGGAGAGGAGCAGTGATTGGGGTGCTCATGAGAATGGATTGCACCCTGCTGCTGCAGCCCTGCCAGCCCCAGGGGCTCTGTGTGTGTATTCACAAAGGGGCCCTCTCCTGCTGTTAGGCCAAGGGAATACACTTCCCTCTGGCTGATTCATTTCACCCCTTCAGCTCTCTCCTCCCACACGAGCCCCCAATGCTACCCTGGGGCTCTTTGCACCATCCTTAGTCTAGCACTTATGGAATATGTGTTAGAGAGCAGTGTAGGGGAGAGGGACCTGGGGGTCCTATGGACGACAGGGTGACCATGAGCCGACACTGTGCCCTTGTGGCCAAGGAGGCCAATGGCATCCTGGGGTGCATTAGAAAGGCTGTGGGTAGTAGGTCGAGAGAGGTTCTCCTTCCCCTCTACTCTGCCCTGGTGAGACCCCATCTGGAATATTGGGTCCAGTTCTGGGCCCCTCAGTTTAAGAAGGACAGGGACCTGCTGGAGAGAGTCCAGCGCAGGGCAACTGAGATGATGAAGGGAGTGGAGCATCTCCCTTATGAGGAGAGACTGAGGGAGCTGGGTCTCTATAGTTTGGAGGAGAGGAGACTGAGGGGTGACCTTATTAGTGTATATAAATATATAAAGGGGGAGTGTCCCGAGGATGGAGCCAGGCTCTTCTCAGTGGCAAACAATGATAGGACAAGGGGCAATGGGTACAAACTGGAACACAAGAGGTGCCACTTAAACTTCTTCTCAGTGAGGTGACAGAACACTGGACCAGGCTGCCCAGGGAGGTTGTGGAGTCTCCTTCTCTGGAGCCATTCAAAACCCGCCTGGACACGTTCCTGTGTAACCTTATCTGGGTGTTCCTGCTCCGGCAGGGGGATTGGGCTGGATGAGCTTTTGAGGTCCCTTCCAAGCTCTACCATACTGTGATGCTGTGAATTCAATGCCATTCCTTGGCACTGTGTTTACCCTGGTGTGAGGAGTCCTTCCAGCCCCTTCTTGCCTCCAAGCACAGGGAAAAGCCTCTGAGCACAGGAGGAGCAGCAGAGCACCTTGTCCCAGGCTCCTGAAGAGTTCTATGGGGTTCTTTTTGTTCTTTCAGCTTGCTGGTGACCAGTGGCCCACCAGACAGCTCCCTGCAGCTCTGGAAGGTGTCAGCAGAGGACTCTAGTAAGGAACAGCCACGTTTCTCAGTTGGAGTAGTTTCACAATGCAGTCTTTGCATCGAGCATCTTTAGCTTCCCCTTTTGCCTGGGTATAAAATGAGGAGAGGAGCACCAATCCCATTAGGTAACATCCTGAGTGACTGCCCTTGCATGGCAGGGGCTGGAGAAGGGCACAAGAGAAGGGTCTGTGCCAATTCTGGTGGCTTGGAAAGATGGGGACTTGCCAGCATAAACCTCCTAAGGGAGGGAGGAGATTTAGGCCTCTCACAGTGGCTTTCCACTTAGTTGTAAGCTCTTAATCATACAAACAAACCCCTTCCTTATCCAATTGGCACAGTGTTACCTTTGAAACCCCATAAAACACCTCAGTTCTCCAAGCCTCCATCTGCCTTAGAGAAAGGGTCGCTGTTGCTTTGCTACAGCAAAATTGGGAAGCAGCACATTGAGAAACACTTTGAAACCACCAGAAAGGAAGTGCAAAACGTTGTGAAAAGCTTTCTTACTCTTCCTCCTTGAAAATCAGCATCTTGCTTCACAGCTTCCCCTGTGTCTGGCTGGATTTGCCGTGGTAATCCTGGCTGGATGTATTGGCACACTGGGTTTATACTGGTGAGGGCTTTAGTTGTAATTGGCTTCCTTATTGCTTTAGTAGGTCAGTTTTAGCTTTGTGAAACAGCTTAATCTCAGGGCTTACTTGACTCCTGATGTGCTTTACAGCTGCTCTTATCTCCCAACAGATGTTATTAAACCTCTAAGTGCCATACCGACAGAAAATGGGCATCCTTGGGCTAGAATTGCAACCACAGCAGCCAGAGCCCAGTGGGTCCTGCATGGATCAACCCTGGACAGTGTCCACATTACAGAGGTGGAATCAAGGAAAAGCATCGACATGGCAGGTATTGAAGTCAGATGTCTGCTGGTGCAAAGCTTTGGGTAAAGCAAGAGGAACTGCTCGAGCAGCAAACACTTCACTGCGTGGGTGCTCGCAGACACATGCCCAGGGGTATAAAGATGTATCTGGATAGAAGTTACAGTGCTCTGGGCTGCCTCCAGCTTCTCACTGCTCCCATGACAGTGATTCCTCAGGCTTCTGCCCCAGATCTGAGGCCTGAGAGAGCACCACAGATGGTTTCAGTGCACAGAACTGGGTTAGCAGAGGGATGCTGCTGCATGCGCTGGCCCAGACAAGGGAGGTGCTGGCCTCAGACTCACATCGCTCACTGGCATCGGTTTGCTTCTGTGTGACTCTGTGATATCCTCTGGCAGGTTCAAGCCATTCCCCTTGGCCTGGCCCTCCATCCCTTGTCCCAAGCCCCTCTCCAGCTTCCCTGCATCCCCTTTAGGCACTGGAGCTGCTCTAAGGTCTCCCCTTCAGGAGCCTTCTCTTCTCCAGGCCGACCCAGCCTGGCTCCAGAGCAGAGCTGCTCCAGCCCTCGCAGCATCCCCATGGCCTCCTCTGGCCTCACTCCAACAGCTCCACATCCCTCTTGTATTGGGGACCCCAGAACTGCACACAGCGCTGCAAGTGGGGTCTCACAAGAGCAGAGGGGCAGGATCCCCTCCCTCAACCTGCTGCTCACGCTCTGGGGGTGCAGCCCAAGGACACAGTGCTTTGCAAGCCCCCCCCAGGGACAAGGCTCAGACAAATGCCCCTCACACCACCTGAGATCCTGCTCTCTTTTGCAGCCCCCAGCAGCAGCGAGGAGCTCAGTGGCCTGGCATTCCTGGACTGCAACACCTTGCTCCTGTGCTGTGCCAAGGGGCAGCTGTACCTGGGGGACGTTCGGCAGCCGCAGGCTCCCTTGGAGGCTGTGTCTGTGCCCTGGGTGCTGGGTGATGAGCACTGGTGCATGGGTGTCAGGCAGGCAGCTCCAGGCTCTGCCTCCAGCTCCCAGCCCATAGCTTGCCTCTCGAACAGAGGCCACCTCACCCTCACCGATGTAAGGAAACCCTCGGAGCCTTTGGCCTCAGCGAAGTGCAGCGTTCCCTCGCCCAGCTCTAATGCAGAGTTCCTGTGTGTGTCCTGGGCTCCTGCTCTGGAAGGCTGCCTTGCTGTCTCAGGTATGTGCTTTGGGCACAGAGCTCCTTTGCTGGAGGCTTTTCTTGAGTCATAGAATGGGTTGGGTTGAAGGGAGCTTAAAGCTGCTCCAGCTCCAACCCTTGCCATGGGCAGGGACCCCTTCCACTGGAGCAGCTTGCTCCAAGCCCCTGTGTCCAACCTGGCCTTGAGCACTGCCAGGGATGGGGCATGTACCTCTTCCTTGCACTGAAGTTGGCCAGGTCGGACCATGGGTGCCATGGTTTAGAGCGAGGTGACCCTGCCCATGGCAGGGGGGGTTGGAACTTGATGCTTGAGGTCCTTTCATAGAATCACAGAATAGTTAGGGTTGGAAAGGACCTTAAGATCATCCAGTTCCAACCCCCTGCCATGGGCAGGGACACCTCACACTAAACCATGGCACCCAAGGCTCTGTCCAACCTGGCCTTGAACACTGCCAGGGATGGAGCATTCACAACCTCCCTGGGCACCCATTCCAGTGCCTCAGCACCCTCACAGGGAAGAATTTCCTCCTTAGATCCAATCTAAACTTCCCCTGTTTCAGTTTTAACCCATTACCCCTTGTCCTATCACTGCAGTCCCTGATGAAGAGTCCAACCCGAACTATTCTATGGTTCTATAAGTTCCAGTTCCAGTGTTTCAGCACCCTCACAGGAAGAACATCTTCCTTATCTCCAACCTGACCTTCCCCTGTTTCAGTCTGAACCCATCACCCCTTGTCCTATCACTGCAGTCCCTAATGAAGAGTCCCTCCCCAGCATCCTTGCAGCCCCCTTCAGACACTGGAAGCTGCTCTGAGGTCTCCACGCAGCTTCTCTTCTCCAGGCTCAACAGCCCCAATGTTCTCAGCCTGGCTCCATACAGGAGCTGCTCCACCCTCTTACAAAGACAGGGACAGTTTGAGCTGTGTCTTTACCAATTCCACCCCACCTCAAACACCCCAGGCAGGCGGTGGCCCCTGGAGCCAGCAGACCTGGTTGCTCAATGTCCTCTACTCCTTCTTCTCCCCAGCAACCACTGGTGGAGCCTGGGTGGGTTTGGGGGGGCTCCAGCTTCCCCCCTAGGAGCACAAACACCCCAAGCCCTGTGCACACACTGCCCTGAGGGTGCCAGTGACCTCCTGGCTGCAGGGACACTGCTGATAACAGGGCCAGAGCATTGCAAAACCCACGCAGTGAATGTGGAAGCTGGGGGGGGGTTTGGCCTGCGTTCACCTCAGCAGCTGGGAGCTCAAGGCAAGCTCCTCAGAGGCTTTGGCTGCTTTGCTCACACAGGTTTTGAGGCTGAGCCTTTGGCCTGGTTTCTCCCTCAGCAGCACGGCCCCAACACCATTGATTTGTGCTGTCTCTTGTTCCTTCTCCTCAGGTTTCGATGGCACTGTGCATGTGTACGACACTGGGAACTGGGCCAGCTCCTCCAAACCAGCAGAGCCAACCTTTGTCCACCAAGGGCACACGTTTGGGGAAGAGGACAGCAATGGAGACCCTCCCCTGGTCACAGCTCACACGTGGCACCCCCAGAAACCAAGGACTTTGCTATCAGCAGCCAGCGATGGCTCCCTGAGCATCTGGGACTGGGTTCAGCCCGGAGGGACGTGTGGGTAGCTTGTACCTGGGGTGAGCTGCGAGGTGGAGGCTGCAATGGGGCCGTTTGCATGCACAGGCTGTGCTGAGCTGCATGTAGAGACCAGGACCAACTGCAGAGAGCTCTTCTGAAACAGAGACCACAGAATCCAGGTGGGCCTTGAGTATCTCCAATGTGGGAGCCTCCACAACCCCCCTGGGCAGCCTGTTCCAGTGCGCTGGCACTCTCACAGTAAAGGAGTTCTTCGTGATGTTAACGTGGAACCTTCTATGCTCCAGTTTACACCCATTGCCCCTTGTCCTATCATTGTTTGCCACTGAGAAGAGCCTGGCTCCATCCTCGGGACACTCCCCCTTTATATATTTATATGCACTAATAAGGTCACCCCTCAATCTCCTCTTCTCCAAACTATAGAGACCCAGCTCCCTCAGTCTCTCCTCATAAGGGAGATGCTCCACTCCCTTCATCATCTCAGTTGCCCTGCGCTGGACTCTCTCCAGCAGGTCCCTGTCCTTCTTGAACTGAGGGGCCCAGAACTGGACCCAATATTCCAGATGGGGTCTCACCAGGGCAGAGTAGAGGGGAAGGAGAACCTCTCTCGACCTACTAACCACAGCCTTTCTAATGCACCCCAGGATGCCATTGGCCTGCTTGGCCACAAGGGCACAGTGTCGGCTCATGGTCACCCTCCTATCCACCAGGACCCCCAGGTCCCTTTCCCCTTCACTCCTTCCCAGCAGGTCAGTCCCCAACCTGTACTGGTGCATGGGGTTCTTCTTCCCCAGATGCAAGACCCTACACTTGCCCTTGTTGAATGGGAACTCTTGGTGGTGTGAGGTTGTTCTCCTGTCTCCAACAGGCAGCGTCGTATCCTGCTTGTATCTGCTGACAGCAAACATCCTGCCACGGGTTTATCATAGCCCCCATGGCCTGCCTTGTCACACATGAGCTCTGCAGAAGCAAAGAGCCACCACAAAAGGCGTGCTTGGAAGAAACAAGCTGCTCTGTGGTATATTTAACCCCTTGTCTCCCCGCCTGCAGCACCCAGGGGAGGGCTGTGCACCCCATGGGGTGCTGGTAGAGCATCACGTGCGTGTGTGTCACGAGTAGGGTGGCCTCTGCTCAGGAAGCCACAGCCTGCAGAAGGAACAGGAACAACCCCTGCAGCCCCAGCCTGCTGCAGGCTTTGTCCTTCCCCTGCCTGAGCAAAGGCACTGGGATCTTGGGGTGCTTTTCCCCCCCAGCTGAGAGTTGAAATGGGATGGAGTTAATGGGAATTTATGGGCTTCAGGAAGCCAGGCACTGGTTCTACTCTGTTGCCAAGGTGAGGGGGGACTCTGCTCCTTATCCTGACCATGGAAACCAGCCTGTTTCAGGCAGGAGCTCCCTGCCTTGCTCTGGCACTGGGATTTGCTCCCACTGGAGCATCCAAGCTGCATCTTGCAGTGCAAAGGCTCACAGAGTAGGTGCCAGGCTGCATCCTGCCTCCCATCACCCCACATCCCCTGTCCCCCCCTGCCTGTGTCTGCAGTCGGGAGGGTGCAGAGGGCTGGGTGCTGCACTGGGTGCCTTGGGGTGAAGGCTGTGCTGGGGGAAGCCTTGGAGCTGGGAATGCGCTGTACTGACCTGCACTGCTGGGTCATGGACACGCGTGTTTGCCTGCGGGGGCTGAGGCTGCAAACCTCTGCCTGCCATTGGGTAACACAGGGAAGCTTCTCATGGGTCTTCTCCCAGCACAAACTGGGTGGGCTTGGACATTCCACTCCCAAAACGCCTGTGTTGCAGTGTGGAACTGGGGCCTGCCTGACCCTGGGGGTTGATGCTCTGGAGCCTGTGTCACCACCAGCAGTGGGAAGAAGAAAGCCTCTTTGAGCCCAAAGATGCTGAGCACTGGTGCAGCAATGCCTCCTCTCCACCCCTGGGAGGTCCCCAGCAGAACCAGTGCAGCTCTGGCCATGTCAGACTGGGGTCTTGCCAGGGGCTGGGGGGGTTCGAGCCCCAGTGAGGGGCTGCAGAGGGCTCCTGGCTTTCCAGGCTCCCTGTGTCAGGTACTGGGGCCATGGGAGCACCGTGTGCCCATGGCCTGCACTGGGATGTCCAGAGTGGGGAGGGCAGGAGGTGCTGGCCCAAGAGTGGGGCCTGGGGCAGTCCCAGTGAAGGTGCTCAGGGAGGGATCCTGGAGCTCAGGCACTCCTGGGAATCAGAACCATGGAATGGGTTGGGATGAAGGGACCTTAAAACTGATCCAGCCCCAACCCCTGCCATGGGCAGGGACCCCTTCCACTGGAGCAGCTTGCTCCAAGCCCCTGTGTCCAACCTGGCCTTGAGCACTGCCAGGGATGGGGCAGCCACAGCTTCTCTGGGCACCCTGTGCCAGCGCCTCAGCACCCTCACAGGGAAGAGCTTCACCCCAATGTCCCATCTAACTCTTCCCTCTTCCAGGATGAACCCATTACTCCTCCTCCCATCCCAGCATCCCTTGTCCCAAGCCCCTCTCCAAGTTCCCTGCAGCCCCTTTAGGCACTGGAGCTGCTCTCAGGTCTCCCCACAGCCCAGCAGAGGGGCAGGATCCCCTCCCTGCGCTGCTGCTCACGCTCTGGGGGTGCCCCCATCCCACAGGAGCGGATGTGCAGGGCTCTGCTGCTGCAGCTCCTCTCCCTACCGCAGCCCTCCCCAGCACCAGACTTCCTCTTCCTCCCTGTCCCCATTGCAGGGGGAGCCGAGGAGCAGAAGCAGCAGAGCTGAGCCTGGCTCCCTCCCCATCACAGTGATGCAGGCGGTGCAGAGGATGCAGAAGTGAACTCACAGAGGAGCAGGGCCTCAGCAACAGCGCAGTTTGTGCCCATCTAAACTTCCCCTTTCCCCCCCCCACACCCACAAATGATCTTAACCCTTCTTGTGCAGCTTGACCCTGATGTGCCAGGGAATGGAGGTGGCCAAACCGCAGCACTCGCATCTGTGGTAGGGAGGGATGATGCTCAGAGGGATGATGCCCAGGGGGATGATGCGCAGAGGGATGATGCGCAGAGGGGTGATGCGCAGAGGGATGATGCGCAGAGGGATGATGCGCAGGGGGATCTCCCCTTAACATGATGCTGGTGATGGCATTTCTCATAGAATCCCAGCCTGGTTTGGGGTGAAGGGACCTTAAATCTCCTCCATTCCCAACCCCTACCACAGGCAGGGACCCCTTCCACTGGAGCAGCTTGCTCCAAGCCCCTGTGTCCAACCTGGCCTTGAGCACTGCCAGGGATGGGGCAGCCACATCCCTGGCGCCCATCTTCTCCCCCCAAACCCATCCCAGCAGTTTTAAGCAGCAACACAAGGCCTCAAAGCAGAAGTCCCCGTCTTAAAACCACTCGAGCACCCCCTGCAAGAGCTGTTGCAGCATCAGCCTCTCCTCAACCCCTGCTGTTTTCCTTTGCTCTCACAATGTCCCTTTGGGACGTTCCACTCGGATCTTCCCTCATTGCTGCTCCCTTGACCTGTTGGCCACAATGCTGGTGATGGGCACCAGCTCCTGGGTGTATCCACCCCATAGTGCCACCCTATAGGGCACATCTACGAACTGAACCATCAACCCAATGGTCCTCAGCAGGCAGAGAGTGAATGCTGCTTGTTGATCCCCTGCAGACCCTTCTTGCCAGACAGCGTGTGGCCATCCAAAATCATTCCCTTTGGGATGCCCAAACCTTCATCCCCTCCTTGGGTCTTGTGGCTGCATCTGCTGGGGGATGCTTGGATGCAGGGCAGTGATGAGGGGATCCATGCCTTGCCCTGTGCTCACCCTGGCAGGGAGCATGGGCTGGGGTATTGATTCCTCACCCCTCATTTCAGGTGTTAGAGCAAGCAGGGTGCTGGGAGACACCCCAGTGGGCACCCTATAGGGATCTATAGGGATGCATGGATCTGCATGGCTCCAACATGGACACACACGTGGGCACCGGTGTGAGCTGAGGCCAGGAGCCAGCTGGTGTTTGCCCACCACATCTGGAACGGGGATGTGCCATGAAGCTCGATGGCCAAAGGCTCCTATGGGATAAGGAGCTTGGAAGGGAAGCTGGGGTTGATCCCAGGGACCAGGGACCAGGCAGGGGTGTCCCAGCACCGCCATCCAGGGAGGTGACCGGCACAGGGATGCTGGGAACACCAAGGCTGGAGCTGGGATGCTGCTGGAGGCTCACACACACCTTAATGCAGGAGGGAATGGATTGCCTAGAGAGAGACTGCAGCTGGGGAGAGGAACAGGGGGGAAGATGCTGAGAGAGCGGGGCTGGGGCAGCCTGGAGAGGAGAACCTGGGTGGGAGCAATCCCAGGCACAGCTCCAGGCTGGGCAGAGAAGAGATTCAGAGCAGCCCAAGGAGAAGGACTTGGGGGTGCTGGGCAATGAGAAAATGAACATGAGCCGGCTTCAGTGTGCGCTTGAGCCCAGAAAGCAACCGTATCCTGGGCTGCATCAGAAGGAGCGTGACCAGCAGGGCGAAGGAGGTGATCCTGCCCCTCTGCTCTGCTCTGGTGAGACCTCACCTGGAGCACTGTGTGCAGTTCTGGGGTCCTCAACATAAGGACATGGAGCTGTTGGAACAAGTCCAGAGGAGGCCACGAGGATGCTCAGGGGCTGGAGCAGCTCCTGTATGGAGCCAGGCTGAGAACATTGGGGCTGTTGAGCCTGGAGAAGAGAAGCTGCGTGGAGACCTCAGAGCAGCTTCCAGTGTCTGAAGGGGGCCTATAGGGATGCTGGAGAGGGACTCTTCATCAGGGACTGCAGTGATAGGACAAGGGGTGATGGGTTCAGACTGAAACAGGGGAAGTTCAGGTTGGAGATAAGGAGGAAATTCTTCCCTGTGAGGGTGCTGAGGCACTGGAATGGGTGCCCAGGGAGGTTGTGAATGCTCCATCCCTGGCAGTGTTCAAGGCCAGGTTGGACAGAGCCTTGGGTGCCATGGTTTAGTGTGAGGTGTCCCTGCCCATGGCAGGGGGTTGGAACTGGATGATCTTAAGGTCCTTTCCAACCCTAACTATCCTATGATTCTAAGACTC